ACTACATGTATATGTCTAAACATTCAATGTGATATGGTAAAAAAAAATTTTGTTTGAGAACTAAACTGTGCCTTATTCAGTCATTCCGGATGAGAAACGAGACGTCGAGATCTATGTGGAACTTCGTCTCGGAAGAGCCTATTCGGCTGCCTATGCTACGGTTATGACGCAGCCGACACTAACAGTGCCGCACAACACATGATACAGCCACAGCCACCGCAGACAGGCAGCCGAACATGCCCGAGGTCGACTGTCCCAATACAAAGTACGATGGAGGAGACAGTATTTCTCGTTATAGTTTCTCGATCCATCGATGCAGGAACTTAGGCGACGCCTCAACGGCAATCCGGCGTTCAAGCCCGCGGCCAGCGATCGAGGCTGCGAATCACGGCGGGTCAAGCACAAACCAGGTGTTGACCGGCAGTCATCACGACGGCACGAAAAATCCCAGGCAGCGCGAGACGAGGCGGTGGAGTGGTGAACACGTCAGTCCGGTGACGTGGCGTCCCCCATTGGCTACCGCGGGGGCTTCGCCGAGCCGCGATTGGCCGCCGCGGGAATTGGTTACGTCGCCCCGAGCGGATACGGCGTCTAGTGCGCTCTCACTGGACGGTGGGGCCCACCGGCCAGGTAGCGGTGTTTGAACATTGAATTGGATCGTTGACTTGGACGAGTCATCGCCGTCCCCCTCCCGTCCGGTGCCTCGCTCTGCTCCAGTCCACACTTCCACTAATCCCTTCGGCTCGCGCGATTTACCCCGAAGTCTTAGCTTAAATCACCAAAATGCCATCGTACATAAACGCCTCGTGTTCATGTGTTAGGCTAGGTCGGGATGGCATTGTCGTGAATATTCCGAAAAGCCACGGGTTTTCTCGGCCTCGCGCACGCTACAAATATTCCTCCATTGCATCGGAATGCTTGCAGCTTTACCGAGCCACCGGAGTAGCCTCGTCTTCTCCGGCGAGCCACCGGCGATGGGAAGTCGCAGCGGCGGCCGCCACCGACTCTTCCTCCGATTCATCGCCCTCTGGTCGCTGCTCCTCATCGCCGCCGGGGAGGTCATCTTCGAGGAGCGCTTCGAAGGTAATAATCCGGCGTTTCCCAATTTAGTCCTAATTGCTTACCAGTTTTGGGGGAGCTCGCTTCGCATGCTCCCTAGCTTGAGCTTATAGTTATAGCTGCTGCTACTTCTGTGCTGGTGCTTGATTCGAATTGGCGAGGCTCACCATGCTGGATTCGCTGCTCCCGGTTTCCATTTTGGGCGCGGCTGCTTTTCCATGTCGCCCCCTGGGCTTGTGCGAGTATTGTATCCAAGGACTTTATGGTTACTGTCCCTGTCAATTTCGAGATATTTAACCATTTGCATGTGGCAATTAACTTTTTGCCACTGGACCCACATGTGGCAAATAGTTATTTGCCAAATCTAAAAGTGGCAAATAGTTAAAAGCCCCGTCAATTTCAGCTTCACCTGTTAATACTTAAGTATGGATGGGGATGGAGGTTGGGTTGTTCGTTCAAAAAATGAGAGCTTCTCTTCAAGGGGCTAATCACAGGTTGATGTAGTTCAGGTCCGCTAGTGAAATTAGTGGAGTATTGAGCATTGTATGGTGTCATTGTTAACTGTTGTTTATCTAATTTTGTGACCGTGAAGAGCCTGAGTGTGTTATTGAACGGAAAATAGTTGGCATGAGTTGGTTTGAATGAGTAAGGTGTGATGCTTTGTCCAATTTATGAACTTCCAATGAATAGGTGCCATGCTGCTTATTTTCCTCCTTGTTTTGGTTGTCTGAGTGTATGTCATGACTCACGTGATTGCATGTTTCAAATATTCAGATGGTTGGGAGTCCCGCTGGGTGAAGTCTGATTGGAAAAGGAGCGAAGGGAAAGCTGGAACGTTCAAACACACGGCAGGAAGATATTCTGGAGATCCTGATGACAAAGGTCCGCTTTTTACTGTCATTGTCGTTCTATTTCAATTGATGACATTGATGGCTTTATTGTGAAAACGTTTATTCTGTATGCTTATCTTTCTTCCATACAGTGTTTGATCCTTGTGTTCTTTGTGGCATTCAGGTATACAGACAACGTTGGACGCCAGGCATTTTGCTATATCGGCCAAGATCCCCGAATTCAGTAACAAGGGCCGTACATTGGTACTCCAGTATTCCATAAAGTTTGAGCAGGATATTGAATGTGGTGGTGGATATATTAAACTTATGTCTGGTTATGTCAACCAGAAGAAATTTAGTGGAGACACTCCATACAGGTATGTTCTTGCTTACAGGATTTCCAATTCCTACAAATATCTATTGTTCGTGTGGTAGTGTCTCAAGCTATATTATATAATTCCAGATCATGGTCTGTGACTGGATTATCAAAGGACTAATCCATGTATACAGGGTTTATTTGCTCTCCTTTTTCTAGTCTGCTGCTAAACGATGCCTGCTAACTTTATTTTCTCCCCTTTATGCAGCTTAATGTTTGGGCCAGATATATGCGGAACTCAAACGAAGAAGCTCCATCTTATACTTTCTTATCAAGGGCAGAACTACCCTATCAAGAAAGATCTGCAATGTGAAACAGACAAGTTGACGCATGTTTACACATTCATACTAAGGCCTGATGCGTCCTATAGCATACTAGTTGATAACCGTGAAAGAGAATCAGGGAGCATGTACACTGACTGGGACATCCTCCCTCCTCGCAAGATTAAGGATGTTCATGCCAAAAAGGTAACTTTTTATTTCAATAACTGGAGCTGTATGAAGACTAGAAATTACGATGTCATAACTAACATATATGCCTTCTTTTGCAGCCTAAGGATTGGGATGACAGAGAATATATTGAGGATCCAGATGCAGTTAAACCAGAGGTTTGTGTTGCCAAAACTCCACCCCTTACATGTTATACTGTGCATATGTGTTGTAACATTTCATTTGCCTTGGTCAGGGCTATGATTCTATTCCAAAGGAGATTCCTGATCCAAAAGACAAAAAGGTAATAAGCTATTAGATTAATCAAAACCTAACGTATCAACCATTTAAAAGCACCCAAAGACTGGCCAATTTAACCACATGTCTAGCTCTACACCTCTACCTACTGCCATGAGCCCATGGCATCTATTTAATTTATAGTAACTGCAACATAAGATTCTGACAGCAATGCAACTGATTCTAGTATAACTTCCTAGTATGCATTTTCAGTGAAGTTCTCTATATAACTGAAGTACTGAACGCACATGATAACTAATATGCATCTTTTGTTCTAAATCAGCCTGACACGTGGGATGATGATGATGATGGCATATGGAAGCCTAGAATGATACCAAATCCAGCATACAAGGGACCATGGAAGCGCAAGGTTTGTTTTTTTTGTCTTTGGCAACCAATCCTTCTTGGTGCACTATCTTTTAAGAGTTCATATTCATACATTCTTTTGTGTACAGAAAATCAAGAATCCTAACTACAAGGGTAAATGGAAGATCCCATGGATTGATAATCCAGGTATGCAAATAGTGCTACTAACTTTATGTGCTACATTTAGTGTGATATGACACTCAGCACCTGATTTTGAACTGGGCCTCTTGTTTGAACACCACTTAAGCTGTGTGTAATTCCAATTTTGCAGAGTTTGAGGATGATCCAGACCTATATGTGCTGAAACCCTTGAAATATATTGGAATTGAGGTTTGGCAGGTAACATTTATAGTGGTCTGCTTGCTTCATCAAATCCTAGTTTGGTCTGAATGATGTATATGCGACATAGACTCACGCTTTATTCATATGCAGGTAAAGGCTGGTTCGGTTTTTGACAACATCCTCATTTGTGACGATCCGGAATATGCAAGAAAAGCTGCTGAGGAAACATGGGGTGCAAACAGGGAGGTAACATCACATAAATATTTACAGAATTGTTGTCTGCTATTCATATCTGCTAGGCACAATCTTAGTTTTGTCTACATTGCAGGCCGAAAAAGAGGCTTTTGAAGAAGCTGAGAAGGAGAGGAAAGCTAGAGAGGATAAGGTCAAAATCTTAGTTTTGAGCACTTGATGTGGGAGCATGACTGGAATTAGAGAAGCTAACTGTAACTACTTTTGTACAGGAAGCTGAACGAGCAAGGGAGGAAGGAGAGCGACGGAGGAGAGAGAGGGGTGATCGGCACCGTGGCAGGGATTACAAGGACAGATACAAAAGAGTATATTTCTTCTACTGCTATATAACAAACTTGCATCTTGCTTTCTTCATGAACTAGTGAAGCCACCATTGAGCTATTAGAAGTACTTAGTACTGAGTACCGGTCACTGAGTCATAACCTTTGATTCCCCTAAAAAAACGCCTACTGATGCAAGATTATCATGTGGTCCCTTAGTTTCTTCTATACTATTGTCCTTCACACGTTCCTACATAAGCAAACAAATTCTCTCTAATATCTGATTTTTTTTTCCGGATCTAATATCTGATTAGATGTAAGGTATTTTTGGGAGGCTGTGGTGAAGTGTGTTGTGACTTGTGTAGTGCCGTAAGTTCATGATGTAGTGCAAGAAATATCAAATATGCAGAGTGGATAATGATTTTTTTAGCGAAAAGGGCATGAGCCTTGCTTATTGCATTAAAGGATCAAACAAGAGTTTAGGAAAGCAAAGATAGAGGTAGAAACAAGTGAATGCTATGATTTACTAGGTTACTAACATCCCTTTGCTCTTCTCTATGTTTCAGCGTCATAGGGATCACTGGGATGATGACTACCATGTAAGTTGCAAAAAACCTTCATTCCATCGATATCGAATTAGATAATAGCGGGTGACTTACATAGTAATGCTCCATTTGCAGGATGAGCTTTGAAATCACGGAAAAATGCTTTCTTCCTAGGAGAAGCTGGAATTTGCATGGTCATTGCTTATAATTGTTACCAATAAATGATCTGGGAGGCCAGAATAGCCGCAAGTGTTCCTTGCTGCGTGTGCTGAAAATTTGAATATCCGGATTGGAATGAAATGAACAAAAGCCTGAAGATCATTCCTTTTGGACAGCAGGGCATACGATTCTACTTACCAGCAACACGTTGTTTTTAGTTGTGAATTGGTGAAATGTTGACGTTGTAACGTTGCGACTTGCGAATATAATGTGCACGGGGTGATGTTCTGCCACTTTTTGAACACTGAACATTTTACTGCATATCAAGCTAGCAACTGCAAGCAGCTTCCTGCCAAAGAGTTTGTCTTCACTGTATTCATCTGTGTTATTCTAAGAATAATGCCACAGTGCAATCAACATACACGAATGCATAAGTTTCAGGGTTTCAGCATTTCAAACCGTGAAAAGAAACCTATACCTAGAACAATTTACTAAGGAATAATAAGTAAAAAGAGCAAACAATAACTCATAGAAAGAGCAAACATGTACCCCTGAGACCTGAACTAATGGTGCAGGGAAAACAGAGCAGTTCTATTAAGCACAATTCCTTAAAAAGAACATCGATTTTTCTCATGCAATACACCTCATAAGTAAACTAGACATTAGCATAGGAAAAACCTGAAAAGAAAAGCGTGCTGAACAAATTCTGTTGAACAACCTCTCATGCTGTCCTTCACAAATATTTCCTTTAGTCCAGATAAAAGAATTCATTTGCAGCAGAAATGACCAAAGAAAGTAACTCCAGATTTTCAAAACTGGAAGTATAGTATTGAATCAGCATGATACAATTCAGGGCTTGAACAATACTATCTATCGAACATTTCAGCGGCCGAGTATTCCACTCTGCAAGTAATACAATGTCTGAAAATTTTCAGAGAAGTTTAGGACTATCTATAAAACATTTCAGCGATTGAGCATCCCACTTTGCAAGTCATACAATGTCTGCAACTCCTCTTCTCGGAAGCACATCCATCTGAAGAGTCCTGCCATTTCTTGAGGCAACTACGCCAACAGAAGGCAGCGAGGGATCCGTAACTGGCTCAATCTCAATAAATCTCAAATCCATCGAGCCTGTACGCTTCAAGCTCAAGACAAACACAAGCACAATCCAACCAAACATGGTGATAGCCCAATAGTTATTCATTCCATGAACCAAACCCCAGGCAATTGAGTAGCCAACAATGATCCCTGATAAGTGGCCAATGAAACTCGCCTGAGGAACCATGATAGATGTGAATATCAGCGATTCAAACGGCGCGAAGCTGATAGGCAGCGAAAGAACCCCGAAGATATTCAGCTTCGACGACGGTTGCTTTGTAGCCAGAATTGTCATCCACCCAAACACGACGCACGAGTACCCGACAGCGGTCACCCTCCTGAAATACTCCACCTTGAACTTCTGAATCATCACATGGTAGAACCCAAGAACAAGCAATCCAGACAGCACCACGAGCACAAGCGTGTAATGGAGGTAGTACTCAACACCGAGCCCAATCTGCCCCAACTGCTCGACAACACCAAGGCTCCACAATGCACTCATGTTGAACACCAAATGCACCACGCTGATGTGCGAGAAGGCGGAGGTGATGATCCTCCAGTACTGCCCGCCTTCCATGGCGGCCTCGTAGCTCAGCCCAACATCTCCATACCCAATGTTCCTCTTCTGGATGAAGAACCAGATCAGGGAGCAGATGCCTATCACGCTACTACTGGCTGGTTTCTCCAATATCTCATAGATCAGAGGCTTGCCCATATCTCCACAAGAAGATCACAGAATCACAAAGCTCCAATCCTCAGTTGGTCAGGAACAAGACAGGATCAATACTTCCACGGCAAGAGATCTACCCAGCACGCAGCCTATGCGGGGATTGGGGTACATGCTGATCGCGAGGCGACAGTTTGGCTGGTCGGATGAGCAAATTAGCGGGAGAAATCTAGGGTTTCGTGGTTGGATTTGAGTAATTTGAAGGCTTTGGGACGGATCAGTGGCTCTCACCTTGGAATTTTGGAGGGGATTCGAGCAGCTTCTCGGCCGTGAGCGCCCAGTGCCCTAGACTGTTCGAGTTGGGAATTTTTTTTGGGGGGTTTCGCTGCACGGGGAGATGATGTTTTCGAATTGATAGGGTCAGGATGCAAAAAAGCCAAAAAGAGAACGCCTTCTTGACTTTTTGGGATGGGGAGTTTTGGTGGATTGACTTTCGCATATAGAACCCTAACTGTATTGGATTTCAACTAAGGCTGTGTTTAGTTTCTAAAATTGGGAAGAAGTTTGGGGAAAGTTGTAGTTTAGAAAAAAATTAGGAGTTTATGTGTGTAGAAAAGTTTTAGATGTGATGTAAAGTTGGAAGTTTGGGGGAAGTTTGGTGTGAACTAAATAGAGCCTAAACCGATTTTAAAATTAAAAGGTTGAATTTTTTGAAATGATTATTTTAGAATTGTTTTTTTACTTGACTTCTTAACCACATAAAAAGAAAGTTGGGGACAAAAGATTGACAAGAACGCCCCTACAATTTATCATACAATCAAATTCTAAGATTCAAAAACTTGCTGAGGCAATCAGGCACAAAAAATCTGTAAACATCATTTCACGTCTTGATACTTGCATATGTACATCTTTCTCTAACTTTGGTTAGTCGATGTAGAAATCAAGCGATGGTGTTGACATCGAAATTGATTTAGCGCTAGATCAAATTTGAGCTACAATCGTATAGGATTTGAGCATATGAGTAAAGACCAGTCAGACCGACATGTCACTTTGTGAAAATCTGCTTTGATCGGTCTCAGGGACGGACCTAGTCCACAGCTAGAGCTCGAGCCTATCTATGGTGCTCTAATAGTAAGCTAGTTCATATATGATAAAAAAAATATTCCGGCCCATGGACTTTTGACACCAGGCCCCGGGGCATGGTCTAGGGCTGACAGGGGCTGACAGGGGCCTAGGTCTGCTCGTGGGCCGTCTGATTTACAATGTTTGACTGTTTGTACAACAGTTTGAGTTCAACTTGAATTTGAGAACATATGGAACTTTAGAATAAGATTGCATCAATTTTGCAAGTCAACCTAAAAGAGTAAATTTGTAAGTTTGTAAATGAGCGAACCATTGTTGTATGGTGAGACGTATGGTAAAGTTGGCTCACTTTAACAGTACTCCTTGGAGTTGTAGATTAGGTAGTGTTTGGTTGGCGGGATGGGATGGAATGGGATGTGACGAACCCACTTTTAGAGGTGTTTAGTTTAGAGGTGAGTGGGATGGGTTGGTCCCTAGATAGGAATATTCCTCTCAGATCCGGGACCAAGCCATCCAGAAAAATCTAGCGGACGAGCTCGTCCCACCTAGGACGAGCGCACGGCGTGAGGTGCCACTTCGTGCCGCTCGCTCGCTCGCATCGTGCTCTGCTTCTCCACGCATCGTGAGTGACTATGACGGCGGGCTCAAGCGAGAGCGACGGCTGCGGCGGATCCGATGGTGGGGAGGGCAGCGGCGGCGAATTTGGAGACGGGGAGGGCTCGGCGGTGACAGAAAATCCGGCGGTGGCGGTGGTGAATCCGGAGGCGGCCTTGGGGCGACGGCGACGGATCCGGTGGTGGGGAGGGCAGCGGTGGCGAATCCGGTGGCGGGGAAGGCTGCGGCAGCGATGGCGGGCGAGGGTGATTGCTCCAGCCGCCACGTCCACATCGTCGTTGTCTCTGATATTGACGCCGGTCCTCCTTCCGCCTGCGCCACTGGTCGCCGCTCCTCCTTCCGCTCACGTCACTGGTCGCCGCTTATCTTTCTGTCGCTCCGCTCCTTTTCTCCCTGGGAGTAACGTGGTGCTAACATCACTCTAAACGGCATTCATCCCATCCCTACCCATCCCTTCTATCAAAGAAAAAATTGGGATCATTCCATCTAATAAACCAAACAAGTAAATGGGATCACTCCATCCCTAAAATCATCGATGGTATCATCCTATCCCATGTAGTCCCCAAACTAAACACATGCTTACATAGTGATCTGACTAGATTAATTAAGCAATGATAACTTATTTCTGCATATACCAGTGGGCTTTTCAAAGAGTATAAGAATGCTACTTTGAGAGGCGTCTAGTGAAAGGTTGTTCCGTGTAAATCCCAACCCTCCCCGGTTGGGATCACACCTAGGTGTGCCACTTCGTCCATCCTTCAACGTGGATGCATGTGATGCGTTGCAGCCACACGCAGCGTGCATAAACGTGGTGTGACTGTGAGTGAGTGTATATTACGTCCCTTTTATAACAAAAAAATGAAATATCGGTAGTTACCCCTCCCAAAAAAAAATATCGGTGACACGTATTCTGATGTACTGCAAATATACACTCTCTATATCGATCTAGCACCAAAATAAATGTAATACAATGTGAGTGAATAATACACGAAATAAATGTACTCCATCTCGAACATGAACACGGAGAGAGCATCTACGCTCATATAACACCTACCCAAAAATAAATAAAAAAAAGAAGCACGTACGCGTACGCGCATGCTACCCACGTAGCGCGCGGCGTACGTATCGCTAAAATCGTGTCATCTCCGTGTACACCACCAGTAGCATCATACACGCCGGCGGTGGATCACCCGCTCCTTCGGCTCCGCCAGAGCTTGACCTCGAGGAAGACGGCGACGAGCGCCAGCACGACGAGGAAGATCCCGTAGCCGGCGCGGGCGGCGTTGCCCTCGTGCGCGATGTTGAGGCCGATGAAGATGTTGGCGGCGGCGCAGGCGACGGCGGCGCGGCCGACGTTGTGGTGGTACCAGTTCCAGTACCTCCTCACCTTGGACGACTTGTCCGGCCGCGCCAGGAACGCGAGCACCTGGAGGCAGCCGAGGACGAGCACGGTGATCCCGATCGCCTGGTGGGTGTCGCCGCCGGGCACGTCGTCGTTTAGCTTGAACCCGGCGACCACGCCGGCGACGCCGAGCACGAACCCCACGCCCTGCACGGAGATGTGCGCGTAGAACCAGAACGGGTCGTGCTTCTTGAAGTAGCGCGCCAGCGCGATCCCCACCGGCATCAGCACCCCCCACCCGAGCCCCGCCATGGCGCCGTGCCACTTCTTCGTGTCCGCCGCGCCGCCGCCGGCGGACGACGTCGTGCCGGCGGCGTAGTTGACGGCGGCGGAGGTGTAGACCTGGTGCTGGGCGAGGTAGTCGCCGTTGCCCGAGGGGTTGGTGTTCGACGGGCCGACGGCGTAGATGAGGTACGGCGTCGGCTGCGGCGCCGTGAACTGGAACGCGACGTAGATCCGCGACGACTGCGCCACGACGAGGGTGTTCTTGGCCACCAGCGACAGCGAGCCCTGGTCCGGCGGGCAGCTGCGCGAGCTCGTCCCGCCCAGCTTGTACTGCTTCGCCACGCCGCCGACGCCATTGCCGCTGCTCCACCCGGCAACCGCGCTGCTCCCCACCATGGCGCCGTCCTGCGAGAACCCCACCGCCACGTACCCTCCCTTGTCCGGCGCCGACAGCACGAAGCTCCACGTGCTCCCGCTGCTCGTATACTGCAAAACAACAAAAAAAAACAAACACATCAATCGTCCGTACATACACCGCCATGAATCGAATCGCGAGCTACACGAAGCTAGCAATCATAATCGAGAGCAAATGGCAATGAACAGAACGTACGCGGACGATGAAGTTCTCGGAGCTCCATGCGTCGAAGCAGGTGAGGTTGGAGGTGTCGAAGGGGATGAGCTTGCTGACGCCGGCGGCGAGGCTCGCCGGAGTGGAGCACGAGTCGCTCGACTGAGACCTCGCCACGGGGCTCAAGCCGAAGCACACCACCACCACCAGGAGCAGTGGCGCCCCATTGATCACGGAAGAACAGCGAGATCTCGGCTTCATCGGTTTAATTTCTTGCTTTTCTGCTCGGTTTCTTGTTTGGTGAGTTCGAGCTGTGGCCTGTGGGCGGCTGCTGGGGAAGAAGAAAACTGGGTGCAGCTGCTTGTGGCGCATGTTGTGGCTTGCAAATGTGAAGGTATTTATCTTTGGTTTGGCTCGCACTATGGAAGACTTGGTGAAATGCAAGTCTGATTAATTAACAAAATTGCAGGGAATAATTAAACGTGTTGTACGTACACGCTGGGTGGTGACAATTGGCCAAACAAATCCATATAAAAACGTTGAGTTATTAAGCTAAAAAAAGGGTAAAAAATTGTGCCTAGGATTAGCTTAGGGTTGTCATTAACAAATCCATTAACACGTAGAGTACGTATTAGCTTAGGATTGTCACTTTGTCTAGAACATTATTTGATGGTATTATAGTGCAAGTTACTTGTCTGGTAAACGGGGCTGACAGTGAGTTGTGTGGTACGCCAAATGTAACCATCTCCTCGTGATCCTTCTTGCATAAAACTGCATTAGCGTTCTAGAGACATTCTGAATTGTAAACTGATTTTGTCGTCATTGTTTCACAAACAACGTAACCTAGCAACAAAATGCAGTAATGTATACAGTAATGTATACTTAAATTTCATGCAATATGACCTTGATTTAACAAGTAGAATCATATCCCCCAGTTGGCAACTTTCCGGGCAGAGACCAGAGAGCACGGGGCATGAAACTTGCAAGCCTTTTTCTTCTCTGGAGCAAGTGGCATATGTTACGCACACACGCATGTACATACAGCGTTCACTGCGATGATCGGAACGGCATGCACTGCAAGTTGTAGCAGAATACTGTAACCGCACCGGCTTGATGACTGTGCCACGTTCATGGTCAGAACAGGGAAGAGGAGACCGAACGATCGTGTTAGTTTCAGCTAATCATCTCTACCTAGTACGCTGTCCGCGTGGAGACTTATTAGCCTTTTCTTTTGGACATGCGAACATCCTCTCAGCTTATCTCATCTGTTGAGTTCTTCAGAGTTCAGACAAACGAACGTTCACAAAGGAAGTTGGTTATTGAAATTGCGCAATAATCCGTTCAATAATCTAAATTAAACGAGGCAGTCAGTGACTCAGTTCCAGTGACTCGAGGGAGTGGATCCACTCCCGTGTTTGTACTAGTACTGTAATTGTATCATGTTCAATCTGATATGAAAGGAGTAGTGCTGTTACTTGAGAACAAGATGCCTCTGAAATATTTCCACTTATGCACTACTCCAGCCCGAATGTTTTCGTTTCAGAGCTTTAAACCAACTCCATGATCCCTGCTCCAATCAATCCATCCCTTCAGATTCCTATAACAACAACTACTACTTCGTACTATGCCCCATATACAACCTCACGAGAAGCTTTTCCTGAATTGAAAAACTCCCACCCTGGAAGGTTCCAGTCCGTGCAATATTATAATCCTAATGAATCATTTCTATATTCTCGTCGAAGCCGGGCTTTGCTGCTGTCCGTTGGGGAAGTCGCGGACGGTGCGTGTACGCGACGAGGTGCTATCCGGGACGACGACGACGACGAAGACGACTCTGAACCTGACCGCAATTCACAGTGTTGGAGACATGTCATGAGGATCTTCGGCTAACCTGCTGAAACCATCTAAATTCATCAAACATCGACTAAATCCAAAAGGAGCACCTAAGGCGAAGCCCCAAGCCAAACGACAAAGACCCAGGGGTTCGCCATCAAGCCTGTGTGAAGCCAGGCGATAAAGACCGAAGGGTTCATCACCAAGCTTATCAATCGACCGAAAATCCACTAAGGGCGAAAGATATGGTCGTCGCTCGAAATAGAAGGTGCCTTCGGCTAAGGGCTTGGGAGGCCCTGCGGCCCACAGAGGCCCTTTGCCACTAATGGGCTGACCCAAGAAGATCGCCGTAGGGCCCATGAGTACAAAAGGCATTGTATACCCACACTAATGTATCTATTATAAGGATAACTACGTAAATTCCCATGTATCTAGAGGGTATGAGCTTGTACTAAACCTATAAATAGCCCTCCAGGGTCATGTAGAGCCATGTAATGAGGAAATCAAAAAATTTTTACCAATTAATATATTGTTTTACTATTCCAACAACTCATCAAGTTTACCACGTCCTTCGACGTGAAGCAGTTATCATTTGACAACACACAGCTTCATGGATCGAAAAAGCTAACCTCCACGATCAGCTGGGCCACGAGCGACGAGAGTACTCATTTCGTTCTAAAATAAACTAATCTCGTAATAAGATATAACATATCTTAGTACAAAGAATATAGACATGCTCGTTATTACGTTATACTATTAAGAAATTGATTTGTTCTGAAAAGAAAGGGGTAGTCTTCAACGCGAAGAAGAGTCCGATTCCGAAGTAAGATAATGCCTAGTGGACTGCACGCTCTCCTGGCAAGCAAATTTCCCTTTTTCCGGTGCGCTTTTGTCGGCGGCGCGTGTGGAGGCCACGCGCCTTGGTTGGTTGACGATGACGCGAGCAGCGGCCAATGGCGGATGGCCGGGTGTGTGCGTGTGGCCGTGTGGATCGAACGCCATGTGTGTATGATGATGAATTGGTGATGTGTGTAATGACTCATATGGTTGTCAAAAACCATGTGAAGAAGTGGTAGTAGTAGTACTAGAAGCATAGTGCTGACAGCTGTTTGATTCGGTGAGTTTTTGTTGTAGACTTTTGTGTACTTGATGAATGCTCAAGCTCGTGGATGACCAGTGTTGAACTACTTTTGTAGAGAGATCAGGTCATGCTTTAATTATCTATATATATCCACTCTTGGAAGTTAATTTGGACTCTGGTCGATAATCCGATTCGACATGTACAAAGTGCGTCCAGACGTGGATCCCAGTTTGATTACGGATCATTTTACAGTACCCAAATTACACGCAAACTAAATCTAGAAGAAGAGGGTTTCCAGGCCGTGCAATATTAAAACCCTCATCTATATCAATCAAATATATAATCACATCTACATCTTGCCCCTCCTGCGAAGTTTCTCACCACCTTTGAAAGATGCCCGGTGACCAGCTAACATTGTTGAAGTACGATCAAGACATCTCTGAATTCTTCTGAACCTGACCGCGAATTATCTGCTGCTAGAAAACAAACAAGCCGTGAATTCAGGCCATGGTCGTCTTCTTCGCAAGGAACCAAAGCCAAGCAAAATCTAACCAAAGTACCAAGTGGTGGCTCCCACGGCCACGCGCTCTTCTCCATCTCCATTTCATCTCCACTGATCGCGACATGAACACTTGAATATTAGCGTCGGCGTGTGGAGGCCACGCGCCTTTGCGTTGCAGGAAAACTGACCGGCCAACCATGGCGACATCTCTAGCTTTGCTGCATTCACTGCTTCGGATAGATCTTCTTGTGTTTTGACGTGCAAGACAATGTCCCGGAAAAGGATCACACAACTTGTCAGAAAAAAAAAAGCACCTGAAGACTAGAAACACAGCACGGATCACTGATCAAAGCTGTTTGATTCAGTAGGTTTTACTCTGCACTTGTCATCATCATCACAGGACAACCAAAGTACTTGCATTACATGTTGCAGTCAAGATTTCCTCGACGTGATTATCCCAAAGACGCTTGATTTGCGGCCGTGGATGACGGGCAAAGGTTAGCTATTGTTCGTTACACAATGACATCAGAGGAGGCTTGATTCTGAAGCTATTACGCAGTGACGACGCGGCGAGTTCAGACTTCAGGCACGCGTATTAGTTTCTGCCGAATCAACAGCGACATCAGAGACGACTCCCTCGCCGGTCATCGCAGCAAAAATGCTCATCAGTGGTTCACCGAAAGGTAACCATCAAGCAACGAACCAAACCAGTGACCTGTGCAATTTATAGCTAGCTGTAGCCCACCAATGCCCTAGAGATAAAAATACATGAACACACAAGATCCAGAATATCTGAATTCGCCGGAAAGAAGCAATCTATGGGGGCAGTTGATAGTGCTCTGTACTTATCTTCAACTTTCAGGCAGCTTCACATCGTCATGGAGCTTCAGACTTTCAGTCGATAGGGCTCGAGCGCCGTTGTTTTGCGCCCGTGGTTTTGATCAACTTGTCGTAAAATTTTGCTTCGCCTGCGGCCCCTGATATCGGCCGACCACCGAACGCGAACATGTGACAGTATGGACTTTGTTTATCCTGCTGATGGCACAGATATCTTTGTATGATTTGGTTTGACATGAGCAATCGAACAGAGGTAAAGACATGCTTCTCTCTTGTTATTTTTCCAGAGTACTGACTTTGTTATACCAATCACACTATCACAGCAGTTAAATATCAACTAATTAGCTAGGTAAGGAACAATTCTTTTTGTCAGAATTTTTCTCATGCAAAATGCTTTTTTTTTTGCGAGGCTCATGCAAAATGCTTTAGTTAATATATATCATATGGTTCAGATTTCAGAGTGAGAATACCGACAAATATGTCGCCAAAAGCCCAAAATATAGCGGCTAAAGTTTTGTGGAGGTGGAGACAGACGTGTTTGTGAATTTTGGCATGAAAAATGACGAGTTGCCACTGTCATTTATGTAATCAGGGTGGGGTCTGAAAAGTGGTCAAAGATAAAAGCGCCCAACTAGTTGTAATTAACACTACAGTTAACCTGCCTCTGTATAATTTCACAGTACGGTGGAATCAACCACTTTGATCCATTTTGGCTGGCCTGACATTTGACTAACTAGGAGTACTTAGTTAGCTAAATCACGGCTCATTCTCCGTACGGAGACATTTCATGCTAGGTTGGTGTCATATGCATGTACTTAAATTAACTAATCTTTTGTTGCGTGAGGAAGCCACGCGCCCACGAGCACGCATGTTACTTACCAGCGAGAGTAAACCACCTAATGCATTTTTCTTTTGTGGCTGCACATGCAGTGCACCCACTTGTACACACCTGATCGAAAATTACTGAATCAATGCTCAAGTTTTCAGGTCAACTTAGTGGCGAATCTTGTAAAATACTAGGCCATTTGGATCTTGTAAAATAGTGTTGGAGATAAAGATATTCACAACTTAAAATTGCAGGCCCTTGTTTCATGCGTTATATCCCAATAACTGTGAAATATTTTGAAAAAAAAATGATGGGGTAGAACATGATACCATATTTTACTGTGTAAATAAATATACGATGCTGAATTCAATGTACACATAAAAAATCAGGTTGTGTACTATCCTACACTGCTCATAGTTGGATTTAGGACCTGTTAGGCACAATATCTATTCCGAGTCTCCGATATCCTTATGCTGTGGAGTTGGAGATATAACAAACACTTCCGAGAGCTTAGATAATATATGAAGTGGCACTGCCACATCGCTATGGAAATGCTTAAGGACTCCAGGGGGATAGAGTGACATTCTCGCCGCTCCTTAGCTTTGCTATGCTCTCGGAGTAGGAGTTGTACCAACCTGATCCTTAGCTTCACTCAATATAAAGATCACAGTTTGCATTATGTATTTATGGAGAGATACATGCATGGCAATATATTTTGTTGGATTGTATAGGAATTTTTTTTATAATTACTACTCCATACATTCTAAAATATATCAATTAATTTATGGTTATTTATTTGTCCATATATATTGTTAGAAGTTGATATATTATGAAATGGAGGTAGTAGTAGATTTCATTTAAACAATAGCGAATGGTAGTTTTGGGCCATGTTTTATAATCTAACTTTTAAAATTTGTTTAAGACATGTAATTCCTTTTCTATACAAATGGTGTAACATTAAGTATGGCTAGATACAACTCATACTGGCCAGCATGTGTGTACCTTTAAATTTAGTGGATAACAATGTCAAATGATATTTGAAGTATGCTAGGCTAGATACATAACTCCCCCATAACTAAGCATGTGACCACTTCATGTCTTATTACTCCCTCCATTTTGTAACGTATTATGTTGTCAACTTTTAAACATACTTTAACTATCCGTCTTATATATATAATTGTTATTTATTTTGTTATGATTTATTTTATTATTAAAGTACTATAAGCACGATTATATTATATTTGTATATTTTTTAATAATATGATTACCCCAAAGATAATGACATCGTATGTTAGAAAAAACAGATCGATAAGTTCTCAAAGTTTGTATGCTCGTGGGCATGTGAGCTATGTACGTGCCTGGCCGGTGACTTTCAAGGAATACTACGTTTTATCCACTAATGTATGGGATTGTTTGCTTGACTCTTCACGTTGCTTTACCACAAGTTAGGCACACACCAAAATTAGAGCGTGGTTAACTTCGTGATAAAATTTTGACCATTTAGTCGGTTAATTTGGATGTCGCACATTTGATATGTCAAGTTGTCAACCATTTGGATTCTTATATACCTCAAGAGACTTGCCACATATATTCGGCAAAATATAAGCCCTAGGCTTATATATTGTTCAATAAAGTTTTAAAATGTATTCCCGTTTTGTATTCTTGAACACGAAACGTAGATCGTGCAAGCACACAATCAAGCTCGACGAACATTAAAAATGCATGGGTGGGTGCGATTGCAAAAAAAGAAAAAAAAAGGAAGAGAAACACATATATGTAAAGGGAGGAGTTATATTTATGGCGTCATATTTTTCACCAAAAAAATAGTCAGCATATATTTACATTGTAACTCCCTAAATTACATATGTAAATTTAGTGTATTTATAATGTAAGTTCCAAAATTACATATGTAAGTCCAAAAATTACACAGTAATTATATGTGTAAGTGGTGTGTAAGTGGGGTGTAAATTTGTATAAAGTATAGTATGCATGCGTGTAAAATCTTGAACTAATGAAGACGTTAAGCTTTAATTAATCATGTTGACAGCCTCAACGTTAGCCTGCCATAGCAATATGCACGGACAGGATCGCATTGACACGGGACAAAGGAAATCGGACGCTTCAAAACGCCGACTGTGATGGAGGAGAAAATGTGTCGACACAATTCTAGCGATTCCGTATGTAAATCTCATGTAAAATATGATAATATACATAACTACACCAATGAAATGAATAACACATCATAAAACAATACGCTCATCGTAATCGTATACCTAGAAAACGAGCTACTAATGGCGTAGTAATGACACACGTCAGTGCCTAATCACATAGTACAAAACAATAACGGGCACGACGGCGACCAGCAGCAAAGCAAAACTGCACATCGACCCGGTCGGCGCCACGCCGGCGGCGGCGCTGCCGGCTCGCCGGCCGGCGGCGGCTCAATGCCTGCGCCTCCACTCCTCGAGGACGAGGTACGCGACGGCGCAGACGCCGACGAAGATGCCGTACACGTAGCTCCACTCGTCCCCTTCCTTGGCCAGCGACATCCCGTAGAAGACGTTGCCGACGCCGAGGACGACGGCGGCGCGGCCGACGTAGTGGTGGTACCAGTTCCAGTACTTGCGCGCCTTCGCCTCCTTGATCGGCCTCGCCAGCACGGCCATCACCTGCAGGCACGCGCAGACGAGGACGGCGACGCCGACCGCCTTGTGTGCGCCGACGTCGTCCTCGCCGTCGAGCCTGAACCCGGCGACGATGGCCACCGCGCCGACCACGAACCCGAGCCCCTGGACGCCGGCGTGCGCGTAGAACCAGAGCGGCTCGAACCGCTTCATGAACCGCGCCATCGCCACGCCGGCGGGGATCATCGCGCCCCAGCTGACCACCGCGAGCACGCCGTGGCGGCGCTTCGAGCTGAGCCCCCCGGCGGCGCCGCTCGCCGTCGCGCTGGACGACGAGGACGGTGACGTGCGCCTCCCGCCTTTCCCCTCGTCGCCGTCGCCGTCTCCTCCTGAGTGCTTGTGCTTGCCCTTCCCTTCGCCGCCGCCACCCTCGTTGCCGTCGTCGCTGTCACCTGCACAGATCGTGACACACATGACATCAGCTAGAAACCCAAGAACGAAGGAGATCGAGACAGCGCGTGTGATTGGTTCTTACCACCGCCGCCGCCGCCGCCGGTAGATGTGCTGCCTCCGCCGCCGCCGCCGCTGGTGCCGGTGGGCAGGGTGATGGTGCCACTCGTCATGTACTGGTGCTGCGCGAGGAAGCCATTGGTCCCGGGCAAGCTGCCGGCGGGGCCGACGGCGTAGACGAGGTCCGTGCGCGGCTGGCCGGAGAACTGGAAGGCGAGGTAGAGCCTCGAGCCCTGGGACACGATGGTCGGCGCGGCGGCGCCGGTCGACAGCGACAGCTTCCCCTGCCCCGGCGGGCACGACCGGGAGCTCGTCCCGCCGAGGTAGTACTGCCTCGCCGTGCCCACGCCGCCCGACGCCACCCACCCGGCCACGGCGCTGCTCCCCACCATCCCCCCGTTCGGCGAGAACCCTACGGAGATGTACCCGCCGGCGTCCGGCGCCGACAGCACGAAGTTCCACACGTTGCTCCCCGCCGACGCGTCCTGCCCGAACTGCAACGCATCGCCATTGATGACGTCAAGCGAGAAACCAATGCAGGTCGAACGATCTCGCGATTCTCGAAGCTTAGCTTAGCTTACCCTGAGGATGAAGTCCTGCGAGCTCCATGCCTGGAAGCAGTTGAGGCCGGTGGTGTTGAAGGGGATGAGGTCGCCGACGGCGAGCGCGGCGGTGCACGAGTCCGACGACGACGACGACGTCTGCGAGCTCACCAGCAGCAGCGAGCTCGAGCCGACGACGCAGAGCAGCAGCAGCAGCAGCAGCAGAGATCGCCATTGTCTCATGATTCGGTCCATGGTGTCAAGCGTGATCGAAACCGTGGATGGACTTGGGGTTGGGTGGTGGTGGTGCGCACACAGCTAGCGAGGGGAAAATGGCGCGGCTAAATAGGGGCAAGTGGCGCGTGTTAAGCTTAAGCGTAGGAGTTGGTTTGTGCGCGTCGTCGTGGGTTAGATTAGAGGAAGATGGGGTTGGTACGTGCGTTGGTAATAGAATATAGTGGCTTCTAGTTCTCCAGGACATATGTTGGCCTCCCGTTGGTTTCATAAAATCGATATTACATTTTTGCAACGAAAGCACGTACAAATGACACCAAATTCGTAGACAGTTGAGATTCAGATGGAATGCTAATTACGATACTTGCATGAAAAAAAATGTGTCCGATAGAAGACACAGAACACACAAACTGAAATTACACTATGAACTTCAGATCCTGAAATCTGAAGTTCTGAACAAACCTTGAAGGTCTGAAGAAAATACCCTGTTCATAAGTTAACTAGGCCTCCCGCATGCTAGTTAAATTGGGATAAAATAATGGGCCCATTTATTTGTTGCAACGAAAACATGGGTCCAATTAATTTGGCCCATTGTACTTTTAGCGAGGTAAATATGGGCCTAATTTGGCCCACATTCTTCCGCTGCTCTGCCTCGGCACGAATCCCAAAGCTTGGGCCCGACCCGAGATCGCTTTCACTTCTCACATCTCTCCTCTCCTCTTCTCCACACGAAGAGATAGAGTGAAATACCAAGAGAGAAAAAAAAGAGAGAATAATTTCCCCCTTTTCTCTCTTCCGTGCCGGAGAATCGATGGAGATTAGGGCGCCGCCGACGAGCCTGAGGCTCGCGCCGCCGCCGCCGGCCTCCGCCAGCTTCCGCCGGACCGCGCTCAGGACCTCCTTCCTCAACGGCAGCGGTGCGTTTCGTATTCTTGCTCCCTGGCCCATCTCGTGTGCTTCCGGGAGGGGGATTGCGGCATGAGGCTTATGCCGGTGGATTCGCCTAGAGGTGTGGTAGTTTTAGTGGTGAATTAGTGGTTGTGGTCTCGTGGATGCTCAGCGATGCAACTGGTGATTTGCCGTGAGAATAGTTGGATTATGGACTATGGAGATTACCTCTGTTATTTCCTATGGTGGAGCATAGTTGATTTTAAGTTTGGTGGCAAATCTAATGGTTTAGTTACGTATGATAATTAGGTATGTGAATCCCACAATATTTTCATTCCATGTTTAGCAAAAATGAGCCCGTGGCAATTATTTTAGTTCAGTTCACTGTTTTCAAGTATATTTCAACCCTATGTAGTAGCGATAGCAAGCTTGGATATCTTGATGTGCATACAATACTAAATGATTCCTAGCAATTTCCCAGTAGAAGGATGATTCCTAGCAACTCGTTAGTGCACCTGGGGAAGCGATAGAAAGCATATATTTTTTTGGGTAAGCCAAAGTTATTGGATAATGTTAGTTCTAATTTTATGCCTACCTATCAACATTGCCACTATATAGATTACACTTGATCCTTTTCAAATAGCCTTTTCTGAAACATGTTGTAATATAAACTGAACTCCAATTGGATCTGGCCTCTGAAAACACATACTATCACGTTCATAGTTGCCTATTGAAATCATTGTTTGAATATGGACCTCCTATTGTCATACTAATTCGGTTTTCAACATGAACTAATCCTATAATGTTACAGAACATTCTGTTTACTTCTGATCATGTATCTCAATGTACTTGATGCGCATGCTCTGACACACTGACATATGTGAATGGGCATGCAATTTCATTGATATTGCCATGCTGGTAATATGAATTATTATGTTTTCATTCAGAGAGCATGGCAAAGTGCAAAATGTAGTAATTTTATGATGAGCCAACAGGCAACAGCCATGGTAGTGACCTAACTTCTAATATACCTTTTTTTTCTCTGCAGTTTCACTTAGACTTATTCAAGTGCGCCAATCAAATGTCAACAGGTTTAAGTGCAATGGCATAAGAAGTAACCTCCTTGATAGATTTTCTAGGGTTGTAAAGGTGATTACTGTTGTTTCACCATTGTACCATTCACAGTTTTTTGTTTATTTAACTAAACTATTTGGCCTTCTGGTTATCTAGTCCTATGCAAATGCAGTCTTAAGTTCATTTGAAGACCCTGAAAAGATCCTAGACCAGGCTGTTTTGGAAATGAATGACGATTTGACAAAGATGCGGCAAGCCACTGCACAGGTTTGTTGTTATTTTAGTCAAAATTTTATAATTCACACTGCATGTTCTTTTCGTTACTGTCAATATGGCGTTGTTTTGGAAAATTGTATCTGCTGTCTTAAGCGTCCCTGAATATGGTATCCATATTAGTTTGGCCACCTGATTCTTATATTTCCATATTCTTGTATATTTGGTAGACTCTCTGAATACATTTGTGAAATGAAAGTGTACATATAGTTTACACTTATATTATGTTCTATTTGCTAAGATGGATTTTTTTTTCTTGAAGGTCTTGGCTTCTCAAAAGCGGCTTGAGAACAAATACAAAGCCGCTGAACAAGCTTCTGATGATTGGTAATGTTATGGGTAAATGCAAGCTTACTTTGTGCTCTATCATCTGTTTGTTTTACAGAGGATGCCCATTTTCTTGAAATCATAGGTATCGGAGGGCTCAACTTGCTCTTCAGAAGGGTGATGAGGATCTTGCTCGTGAAGCCCTTAAGCGGCGTAAATCATATGCTGTAGGTATCATGCAAATCTAAAGTTCTGGATCAAAGATCTGCCCATATCATATTGAGTAACTACACGATTAGTTTTAAAATTTCTTACTCTTTCGTGTGCTGTGTAATACATTATACTTTTGGTGTATTTTTACACTTCAACTTAAATGATTATGCATGTAGTGTCGAAGTCTGATATGTATCTTCTACTAGTTCGATATGTTAGTGTTGTAATAGTTTTGTTATTTTTCTTGTGTTCATAGGACAATGCAAGCTCCTTAAAGGCCCAGCTTGATCAGCAAAAGGGCGTGGTTGAGAACCTGGTATCAAATACTCGGGTGAGCTTATTAGCTTCAAGTTTCAACTGCTGGGATGCTATTTTCACACTCTGCATTATATGTATTATAACGAATTTATATTTATCTGGCCTCATATATGGCATAGAGCAATAGAGTGTATAGTACCTATTTCATACTATTCAACTAATTGCTATCATGTGGAATATGCCATCCTGTAGGTTCTTGAAAGCAAGATAGCAGAGGCTAAGCAAAAAAAAGATACCTTAAAAGCCCGTGCTCAATCAGCCAAGTATGCATCTATTGGTTGTTGATTATTCTTCAATTACTTTTTACTTTGGATGCTCTGAGCCTCTGACACTTCACACTTGGACATTCTTTTCCTTAAGGACTTCAACAAAAGTGAGCGAAATGCTGGGGAATGTAAATACTAGTGGTGCTCTTTCAGCATTTGAGAAAATGGAGGAAAAAGGTACTCTTTTCATTTTATCGATTTTCTCTGACCGGTATTATTTGTTGTGTTAGCTAAAGTACATTTGTTACTGTATCACTTGTTCGTGCAGTGGGCACTACCACCATCACTTAATATAGGTCAACGTGGGATCCGCATAATGAAACTTTAGCAAATAAATATGTAAATGTAGAGATTAAGACCTTGAAATAACAGTAGACATGTCTTGGAGCATACATTCATCCTACACTTTTTAAATATCTGACTGGTATATTATAAAAAAAGTGATGAAATACGTAAGTTAGTTTCTTAAAAATATGCCTCATATTGAAGAGGCTGAAGAATATAATAATGACCCATATTTATTTATGAATTGTAATATAGTGATTTTAGCTTAGACCACAGACATGCTCTATGTTTAAGCATAGATGGCTTGCCTTAAACATGTAAGAGAGAAACGAATGAAAGTACCGTCAGAGGGTAGCATAATCAAGTCAATACTTATCTACTTTCCAGCAGTGAAAAGTTTAGCCTCTTGCTTAAAGGCTGATACTTGATACCTTCAAACAATTATTTTATAAAGAAAATAAATTGGTATCATGATTTCGATTGATATATTTTGGGATCTTCTACCTTTGCACATGAGATGTTATGACTTATAAGTGATCTTGCCAAAGTATCTCCTCATCTTGTTTGAACTGTGAAGATCATGTCTCCTTGTCTTCTTAGCATCCAGTGATGCTCCAAGTTATGATAAATCATTTGACTTTTAATAATTATAGTACTTACAGTTGATTGTTGTTATTGTCAGTTATGGCAATGGAGTCCCAAGCAGAGGCACTCGGTCAGTTGGCAACTGATGATCTTGAAGGAAAGGTAAATTTGACATTGTGGACTAAATTTTCGTGGATATCACTGAGGTAATTAGATGATCTGATCGTTGTTATTTATTTGTGCACAGTTTGCATTGCTTGAGACTTCATCGGTTGATGATGACCTTGCACAAATGAAAAAGGAAATTTCTGGAAGCTCTTCGGTATGTATTAATGCTCAAACTATGAGACGATGTCAAGTTTCATTTAACACACAAGACAATACATCTGATATTTATGTGAACAGAGCCAGACCCACTGATAGTACAAGGGGTACTGGGGTACATGTTACCTTTAGCAGTTCTACTTAAACATAACATAACGATGGCATCTGCTGAGGGCGAACTACTAACTGTGCATTTCCCCCTAAAAGCATATGCCTGGATTGATCCGTTTCATTTGTTATGTGCTAATACGATGTAAATTTCCTGTTATCTACAGAAAGGAGAACTTCCTCCAGGTAGAACGGCAGTCAGCAATTCAGGAGCAGCGCGCCCTTTCCGAGACATCGAGATTGAGAATGAGCTAAATGAGCTGCGGAAGAAGGCCAATGAATATTAGATTATGCAGTTTCCTTGTCCCTGCACCAGGCCTGACGAATCCTTTAGACTGAAGAACCCCGGGAAGATATAGGATGGTCTTCAGGTTTCTCCAATGCCCCTTTGTTGAACCACCAGTGCAGCCTTTTTTCCCCCCAAGAGTATAATGGATGCGTAAAAAAAATTCTACATTTTGCAGTGTGATTGACATTGACTGTACAGTTAGCTACATAGTTATGTAAAAGTCATATTGCTCTTTCTAGAGCTGACTCTGCATATTTTAGTGGAAAGCCAAAAATTTCCGTCCTCGTGCATCTTCTTGTTGCCCTCTCGTTTGTGTCATAGCATGTGTTTAAGACTAAGACCAGAATGTCTGTCGATAGATCCAAAGTCAGTGCACGCATTCTACTGATTTATGGTGTGTATGATAGCAGTGATAAGGTTTTGGGTGCTCATATGCAACACGCATGACTGCAACTATTCAAGTCAGGGTCCAGACCAGACCTCGTATGTAACGGTCTTTTGAGTCCAATATTAGATTACACATCTGAATTCATACCTTGCCAATGCAAAATATTGACTATCGCAGTTAGAAAATGCATTATTCTCTCATGTCACATAGAAATAAACAAAGTTAGGCTCCTGTGTATTTCATTTCAATCATGAACAAAGTCTAATGTCAAAGTCATAAAAACCACCTTTTTTTTTCTAGAATTTCTACCCGATAGATAAAACAAATCACTACATGCTGTTTTTAAGAAACATAGTATAAACACAAACGTTCACACAACATGCGCACACTATACCTGTGAACCTTAATATGACATTTGTGGTGGTGTGTATGTATCGAGAAAAAAATCATGTACCTTGACCTTGGAGGGCATCTACACAAGGCATCTTTTTAAGGAAAAAAAAAGTTACATTGCATCACAATGGCGTGAATAACCAATCCATTTACAGGGTAGAAAAAAAGAAAAAAAATGTGAAAAGGAGATCTCCAGCATGGCCGGCGAACTTCACGCCGCCGTGACGCCGTGTCGACTCATCCGAGCCCCCGAGAATTCATTCGTTTTGACTCGCAAAAATGAGGCTCACGCTGTGGACATGTCGGACTCCTGGACGCCGGCCGGCCTCAGCCAACCCTGCCACGAACCCCCTCTCCTCTTCACATTTCAAACAACCAAAAGTTGCAGACTTGCAGCAAGGCCGGTGCACCAACCTCTCCTCTCTGCACCAGTGCACCTGAAAAGAGAGAAGATCACCTGAACGGAAACGTCTCTGACACTGTGAGCACCACAATGTACTGGTTCAGATGCGTTGGTCGCCGTGATTTCGTCAAAGAGTGTGCAGGTTAAGATAGATGGAAGCCACTTTCTCGCAGCAAGATTGTCAATCTCTTGACTATTTCTGCTGTCCAAGTCCAACAACGCCAATTACAGGGTCAGCAATCTTCAGTTAATGCTAGTAGTTGCATTTGGTCCAATCTCACATTCTTGACCATTTCGAGTACCATTTTTTCATCCTAGATGGTTGCAAAGAAGATACATGATCTCTCTCACACACACTCCCTCTATATATATTTGTGCGCGCTTGCTAGTTAGCTAGCTAACCATTCCATTAGCATATATACACACAAGCTACCAGGCTAGCTACTTCGCATTCAGTTTCAGTTTCAGAGAAGAGACAGCTTCTTGGATCGTATCGGCCATGGGCTCTCACCTGCACCGTGACTTGCTGCTCGCCGTCGTTCTCGCGGCGATCGCCGCCGCGAGCCTCGCCGGACGCGCCGACGCCGCGAGGCCATTGCCGCCGAGCCCCGCGTTGCCGTCGCCGTCGTCGTCGTCGGCGTTGGAGGCGGCCAAGGCGGCGGTGTCGACGCTGATGGAGATGCTGCCATCGGGGCCCAGCGCAGGTGGCGCGGGACACTGATCAACTCATCCACGCGCAGATAGATTCAAGAAGCGATCGACGAGATGTCTCCGAGCGATTTTTGTAGCTGTTTTTTTTTTCTTCTTAATTTACGACACCATTTTTTTTTCTTCCTTCTATAGATGGATAGGTTATGTGATCTGTAGCCTCTGAACATTTGTGTACATAAAGATGAACACAACGTGAGAAATTAAGCTACTGATGATCGGTGCAAGCATCTGTTCTGAATTCAGACTCCAATTTGATTTGACTGTTGGTTAATTCTGTGCTAAAACATTCAGATATATATTGGTCGGTTTGCTCTGTAATGTAACGAGGGAACTGAGCTATCTTGTCCTGCATCCGTTTGTAAGGGGAAAAAAGCTTGATTTTTTTTGTTCTTTTGGATCAAAGAATTGTTTGTGCAGATTGCTAAATCTGGTTTTTGAAAACATATTAATTTAGAAGCCTTCAGTTGTATAAGTATCATATTATCTTAGTGCCCACGAATATTATGTTTATGCACATGGACTTTCAACAGGACTTTAGTGAGATCAATGATGTGCCGCTAGTTTATGTCTCTTAAATCATGTGTTAGGGGACACATTCACGGGAGATGTGAGTGCGGTGTTGCATGTGTGGTGATGTGTGTGCGTCTGCCATGTAATAAAAAAAGGATTGCTCTACTAGACATGAGCAAACCATTTTCGTAATGGCACTCATCAAGTTGGCAACATATCCTATGCACACAGGCCCTCACGTGTACACACGTGCACACTAACTAAAAAATATCACCAAAAAATCTAGAAAAAAATCATACACATACTTTCAATTGTATTACACCTAGGGTTAAAATTTTAACGTCAAATTCATTATATTTTAGCCGTAACAAAAAAACAAAAAATCTGACAGTTTTAAGGTTGTAATTTTGTCAGAATTTTATCTTTTTTGTTATTCTCTATGTAGAATGAATTTGAAGATGCGGCTTTGCACGTAGATGTAATACTATTGAAAGTACATGTATGAATTTTCCTAGAATTTTTTGTGATAATTTTTAGTTTGTGTACACGGTGTGTACACGCGAGGGCCTGTGTGTATAGGATACGCTCCCCGTCAAGTTAGAACTAATCATCTGAGATTGGAGTAAATCAACCACCGTTCTCTCTTTATTTTCAAACTAGCTAATCATGAAGAAGAGGGAAAAACAACCAAATATATTTCACATCTGGCCAGCTATTGTGGGCGCAAATGAAAAACACATGTCTATCCAACCGGTCAAAACCGCACCATACTTCTATGAAGAAAATAGAGGAAAATATTCATCATAAAACACGTGAAAATCGTAGTAAAGACAAAGCACGGGAAATTAGCTGCGACATTAGGTTTTGGTCAATTTTTCGTATGAAATTAAGTACTCGATCTCATACACGAAGTCTAAGCACTTATAGATAGCACTTTTGTCAATAAGTGTTTGGCAGTAGCAAAATACAGTTTTTTTTGTACGTAGAGAGTAAGAGAGATCATTAAAATTATACAGTGTTGCTCTTAAAAAACGTTGTTGGACAATTAATCATTTCAAGTCTGAATCTGAATCTCTTAGGTCATAATAAATACCTTTCGAGATTCAACGGATGCAGCATCCAGCCGTTCTTAGTTTCTATCACGAGTTAATGACCACGATTAAATCGATTAGGCGCTCGAACGACCACGGCCATGAATCATCATCCATCATTTCAATGCATGAAAGCTCCAGATGGATCACAATATCACATAATCCAAGTTTAATTGCGCATGGAAATACGAAGTTTTTGAACCAAAAATCCCTGAATCAGTACAGAGAAGATGGCGAACGACTTGTGAATCAGTACAGTACTTTAAGATGCCTCTATTTTAGATCGCCAGCTTTCCCCCCAAAAAATAACCTCTTATAGCGGTCAGGAATTTTGGAAAAACCCCTAACAGCATAGTCTTCGTATCATGTCATGTGTAGTGAGTAATTTGGAATAAGTTGGTCCCTCCAGTTCTAACCACAATATCTCTCAACTTACAATACTGCTATACTTTACGTCCTAGAACAATATAGTATCCGGTTTTGGCGAATATGACGGTTGAGTCAGCGGCGAAAACTTCTACTACTCTCAGGGGCGGATTTACAACGGGGGCGGAGGGGTCTTGAGACTCCACTACCGCTCCCGGGACAGTGGAGACCCCCCTAAGCCCCCACTAAATTTTTTTCCCATAGATCCATAGGATGTGGGGACTGGAGGTTCGACTTATGCTGATGTAGTTTATTCAGCTCCCACTACTATTTTTTTCTAGATCCGCCCCTGACTACTCTATTCCTCCCCCTCTTCCCATCTCTCTCTTTCTCCAGGGCTAGGCGGCTGGTGACGAGTGGTGCGTACTGGCGGGAGAGGCGCACGGTGGCCGACGGGGAGAAGCTCGACATCTGCTGGCGGCTGCCATTAATCTCACGGCAATGTCAAATTGTTCGTGCGAGATTAAGGCCAGGGACACATCTTTCCTCATTTGGCCGAACCAGCGCGCGGTTGCGATGCATCCGCAAGGGCATGGGGTCCAATGGTCACTGGAGATGCTCATGCGACAGCGAGGGCGACATGGCGAGAGAAGGCTCAAGGAGGGTGGCGATGCGAGGAATTGGATCGACATGGTCCGACGGCAGCACACTGCTGCACATGGCGACGGTTCGACAGTACTCAAGGAGGACTCCGACAGGAGAGACGCATGGTGGCCGACAGGAAAAAGCTCAAGGAATCGCTAGACCCGGGCCTGCCTTGTGGAAGGCGGTGCCAAGGTCGAGGAGGTGGTGCTGGGCAGCATCGTGGTGGCATGAAAAGGGAGAGGAAATGGAAGGGATCAACAATAACGAAGGGAATAAGAAGGGGCCGACTGTCGGCATCGAGTTTCTACTCACCAGCCACCACGTACCTCTCTCGCCGACTGCCACCCTTCTCCCCATTGGCCACCGCCCATTGCTGTTGAGCTGCCACCAGCCGTGCACCTTGGCTACCTGCGCCGTCAGCACCATGCGACTCTCCCGTCGGCTGCCAATCTAGAGGCCTAGAGAGAGAGATGGGAAGAGAGGGTCCAAATCCAGTTTGCCTTGCCTGTGACGCTTTTCCGCATCTACCATGCCTCCGTCGTCGAGCTTCTCCCCGTCGGCCGCCACGAGTCTCTCCCGCCAGAACGCACCGCTCGTTGATGGCCGACTCTCCCGCCAGCTACCAGCCCTGGAGAGAGATGGGAAGAGAGGGGGATAGAGTGGAAGAAGTTTGGGCCGGTGACATGTGGGGTCCACGTGGGTCCCACGCTGACTCAGCCGCCACATCAGCTAAAACTAAAGACTATATTGTCCTAGGACGTAAAGTATATCGGTATTGTATGTTGAGGGACGTGTTATATCTGGTAATAATAAAATAATGATATTTACATAATTTTTTAATAGGATGCACGGTAAACTTCATAGTCAAAGTCAAATGTATTAAATATTTATTACTGGAGGAATCAATTTCAAGTGCAATATATTTATTTCTCTAGTATATACCACAATATATAGTTCGCATTGAGTTTATGTGTGAGGGCGAAAACGTAGCACTTGCTACGTGTTAGCCATTTATATTGTAATTATGCTCCACAAATTTTAGGTCACACGCATTTACATTAGTGAAAGGTAAAACCCAAAACTAGCCACGCAAGAAAAGAAGAAAAAGCAACCGTCAGATTCATAAAGGAGAGAATACGACAGCCCTCAGATCATTACATTAGTGAAAGGTAAAACAAAAACTCAACAAGAACTAACTACGCAACCGTAAAAAAAAAAGGAAAAAAAAAGTCGAAACTGATCAAGTCGCTAATTACATGTTATTTTTAGTAAGACAAATTAAGTCGGAACTGATCACTTCACAAACAAAACAAACAATAATTTCATAATTTTTCGAATAAGATGAATGATGAAACGTTTAAAAAAAATTCAAAACAATAAATATTTTAGAACAGAATAGTTAAGTAGGAATATTATTTTATTTTTTTTCTCGTATCCGAATCGCATAGCGCGCGTTCAGCTTCCGAGGCCCGTAGCAAAACCGAACACTACCGCGGTCTCGCCTTTCTTTTTAGTTTTTTTTCCCCTTTCTTTCATCCACTATTCTACTACATAAACAAAGGACGATCTCGTTTCAAAAAAAAAAAAAAAACAAAGGACGATCTCGGCCTCGCGCGCGTCGTCTAAAACCGAAACCTCCCCGCCGGAATCCAATTCGTACAGCGCGTCATGTTGGTCATGGGCCATCCACTCGGCGGCTGGACGCCGCTGCCCAACGAGCCGCCGTCGCCGCCGCCGACACGACGAGGAGGCCCCGAGCGGGCCTCCCCTTCCCTCTCCCCCTGCACCACCTGCTGCAGGACGTTCGCATGGGTAATCGATTCTTCATAATATTTTTATTACTAATACTCCCTCATTTCTAAAATGTTCGACTCCGTTGACTTTTTAAAATATGTTTGACCGTTCGTCTTATTCAAAAACTCTTGTGAAATATGTAAAACTATATGTATATATAAAAGTATATTTAACAATAAATCAAATGATAGAAAAAAAATTAATAATTATTTAAATTGTTTAATAAGACTAACGGTAAAATATTTTTTAAAAAATCGACGGCGTCAAACATTTTGGCATGGAGGGAGTAGTATATCATCACAGATGAACTGCATATCAATTCTAGACTAGTAGCGATTCCTTAAATTTTCTTTAGATAATGACTAAGGGCAAGCGCAATGTTAGTTGCCGACTTCGGCAATACTGTGGGCCAAGGGGTCAGATGGTATTAAACCATCGCACCCTTCACATTGTTTATGCGCATTGGAGAGGAATAAGGTAGGCCCAGCTAAAAAAAATCACCGATAGTAAAATTCCCGTGACTGCTGCGTGACTCTTTCCCGCGAGTTCTGTCAGAAACACTGTACAAATAATATTGTTTATCTCTTGTTCATCGGTAGTAGCTATATGACCAGGTTTTAACTCTTTGCCACTCTCACAATGCTTCCTACTGGGTAGGAAGAGAGCATGTATTGCTTATTACCGGCTAAAAAACAACAATGTGGATGCCTCCTTAATTACTTTCTTAGTTATTAATTGTCTATGTTGCCATTGCTGCAGACCTTTCTGGTTGGCATGGGCCTAGTATTGATAACATCTTTCTACCTCACCGTGATTCTTGATGCACATCCTCCTCTCATCACTGTATTGCTGTTCGTGCCTGTAACTGTCCTGGTGATTGTGGCGGTCTGCGCGTGCGCGGGCCTGGCGATCTTTTGCTTTGAGGAAGGACAGATTGAAGAGAACCGCCGGCTGCAAAACTCACCTGTCTAGCTAGGCTACCAGATGGTGCTTCACTGCTACTTAGCTCCTCCTCTGGATGAAGTTTACTTCCTCCGTTTCACAATATAAGTCATTCTGGCTTTTCCTATATTTATATTCATGTTAATGAATCTAGATAAATATATATGTCTAAATTCATTAATATCAATATGAATGTGAGAAATGCTAGAATGACTTACATTGTGAAACGGAGGGAGTAGTTTCTTTTTTCTTTTTCATATATTGTCGCATCTGTACGGAGGGAGTATTTGATAAAGTTAACTTTCAGTATTCGTCTTATTGGAAAAATTAGCATGGGAGCCACGTCTATTGCTGCTGAAGAATTGTATGACAAATAGTAGATGTGACTTATAATCTTTTTTCTTACTTACAATATTTTATGATAAATTAATTATCCAAGGTTATAAATGATTGTGATGTATGGTATTGGCTTTTAGAAGACTAGAAAAATATTTGTGCGTTGCAACGGGTGAGGGTTATTTTAATCATATTATTGTTAGTTTTTTTTGTATAAAAAGTATATGGGATTTTTATTTTGATAGTATTGATATCTCATTTGGAATCTTTATTGGGATGATGGCTATATCTTGCACGTTGCTTTCTTATGACATTACAATAATTCTGAAGTAATTAGGAGTACGACTCTCGTCCCAAGTTAGCATGCAAGTTTTTTTAAAAAATGATTTCTTATACGGCTCCTGATATATTTTCAAAAGCGAACAAACTTAAAAATTGACTGAAATATGGACGACGTACCAAAGCATCAATGGCAACATTTTCAATTTTTATAATAGTAGAGATAGAGAAAAGATGTAATTTGCACCTTTGATGAATCATCCAAAGACCAAAAACTAACAAGGTGATACGGCTTCATAACAAAAATAGTATTAACTCTACTTAGTAGGGATAAACTTCATAGATATTAGTGCATATATATATATATATAAAGTATATAAGTCATGTTAAAGTAATAACTATATATACTTGTAAAACAAATAAACTAGACGGTAAGATAAGGGACCTATTATAAACTTATTCCTGAGTAATTTAAACTGGGAGGCCCAGCTAACTGTATTACGATCCCAAAGGCCCATTTAAAGTGTACACTGGAAGCCCCAGCCAATTGGATTACGAGTCCAAACGCCCATTGAAGCGGAGTACACTGGAAGGCCCAGCCAATTGGATTACGAGCCCAAAGGCCCATTTAAGCGGCCCAAACAAGAAGACTCGAGTGAGGTTTCGTCTTCGTCTCCGTATAGATAATTTTGGATTTGAGTTTTATGGCTCCTGTTTTCCCGAGCTGAGAAGAGGACAGAGCAAGCCGCATCCATGGCGTCAGCGGCGACCCTTCCGAAGCTTCGGTTCAGGCCAAAATGCCACGGCCACTTCCAGGTTCCATCTCCCATTTCCTGAGCTGAAATCTCCTGCAGAGATGAAAGATTAACAACTGAATTCGTTTTAGCCGCTAATCTCTGAACTAATCAAATACTGAATCTCATTATTTCTTTCCCTAGGCAATCTATCCGGTTCATGTCCATATCAAGAACTGCAATGCTTGCAAGTGTCAGATTCCTACCCACGGGTAAACCCTGAACCTATCAATTTATTGGTTTCTTGCAGTCTTCAGTTTGCCGTCAGTTAGACCTCATTGTCCTTTTTCTCTCAGGTTGCTTGTTTCCAGCGCGAGAAGTCGTCCTGTCCTGCCAGTGTCGGCAGTTGGATCAGGTTCGTTGCAAGTTTCAACTTGCAGCTCACAATTGATGTCATAAATGTTAACCAAAGTACATGATCCGTCCTTAATTCTTGAAAAATGTTCAGAATTCAGAGAGGGTGTCAACTCGAACCTTCAGAGTTTCAGACTGCAAAGCGTGCTAAAGTTTTTCAGGAAATGCAGGCGGGGGCTCATCGGTTGCTGAGGACGAGAGGAAGAGTGGCTTGTCGCTGCAGAACGCCAAGACATCCGTTGTGTCACGCGACGATGAAACGATCAATGTGAGCTTGTGAAACCCAGGCTAAAGGCATGTTAATTGTTTTTGTCTAAAGCTACAAACTGAATTCTTTGGTTTTGTCCGGTCATCTGAATTTATGGAGCAGAGATGCCTCTAACTACTCTCCATGTTTCTCTAGGCCATGCTTCTCTTAAGCTTAAGTGATATGACATACACTAAAAATGAAACTGTTTTGAGTTCTTAATTGGTTACTAATTAAGTAATTAGTGAGTCATTGTTACCATTTTGACTGTTGATGCACATCTTCAGGTAAGAGTGGATTTGCCTGGAAAGGCGACACAGAAGGTGTTTGATGAAGCCTTGACAAGCTTGGCTCGTGATGCACCGCCAGTTCCAGGTTTTAGGAAGTCCAAAGGAGGTAGTATTAACTGCTAATTATCCCCATATTGATGCAATGGCCACAGTTCTCTGCTCTATTTTCTTGCAAGAATCATGTTACTAATTGCTTTTACATAAATCAGTTTAACTTTCTTACAATTTTTCTTCCTCTTCCTTCATGGAAATCTGTTGGATGTTTGAAGGGAGAACATCAAATGTAAGTGCCCACTAGACTTCTGTTTTTTTTTTGGCTGTACCAGCCAATTTTAATTGCACGGATTCCTTTTCTTTCACGCATCTATTTGCTTGGAAATTTTGTATTTCCAAAACAAATTATTCAATACTCAGCCCTTCTATGAACTAGAAAAAAAAGAATGCAAAATTTTGTTTGCAAGGAACATGAGTACGGATAACCGTTAGCAGTTGAATTTTCAACCACTAGTGTTGGCTACTAATTGAGATCAACAAGTGACATAGCTTGACAAGCTACATTAAGTTTTGGCCTGCTGAAATAATTGCTTTCCTAATCCCCAATTAACAACTAACCACTGGATACTGTTCAGATACCAAGCAGCATTCTGCTGCAGATGCTTGGCAAAAGCCGGGTCACCAAGTTCGTTCTTCAGGAAATACTCAGCATCACTGTTGGTGATTTTGTAAAGAAGGTTAATGCAATTTCACTTTTAACATTTGACAACATTTGCCCATTTGACTGGGAGTTTGACACTGAAAAATGCTGTTCATCCAGGAAAACCTGAAGGTGAACCCTGAAATCAAGACAACCCAGTCAGAAGAAGAGCTCGAGTCATCGTTTACGCCGGGTTCATCATTCAGTTTCAGTGTTGTTCTGCAGCTTGAGAAGCCTGAATCTGATGAGACCTCAGAGAACTCTGAATCTGACGAGGCTTCTGAGCCCTCTTCTTGATAGTAGTAGTTCAGAGAAGTGCTTCACATTTGTATCACTCCTTGCTATTCTCGCTAGAGAATGTTCTTCAGAAGAGCAAGCAAACAATTTCAGATGAGACATTGCAGTTGATATGCAGGTTGCAAGTGACACATCTATGAGATTTGTGTACTTTGTGCTGAGTGCTGACGACCACTGAACAAAAACAGGCATAATCCACATAAGTTTCAGAACTTGAAGCAAAGATTTGGGAAACTATGCTGCTGCAAGAGGAAGCCTGACCCTACATCCATAACACTGCAGCTCATGCATGTCACCATAATGAAATCTTATCCACTTTGTCTGGAGTATTATCCATTGACACCTTGGCTTTCCAACTACCAATCAATCATACATTTCATATGGGGTCCTCACTTCCCAAGGTTCACACTCCCAATTCCACCACCAGTGTGACCTACCACCTACAAATATTCCATTCAGAAAACACTATGTATCAGAAAAACAGAGCCTTAAAATTTTACAATTTTTGATCCCATTCTCTAGACTACTTTCTCCGTCCCATAAAACTTGTCGTTCTAGGTTGTTTAGCATGTATTAAGGTTAGGAGAAAAAGACCATAATACCTCTTAATAAATAATGTATAGTTGGATGTAAGATGGTGGTTAAGAGTAGAATGGGGAGAAATTTGAATTGAAAGTGGTTGACGTGACAAGTAGTGCCCTAAAGTGACAACTATTTTCGGACAACTTTTAAATGCTAAAAAGGCAAGTATTATGGGACGGAGAAAGTAGAAGATTTTATCTCCTTTTTTTTACATAATATAAAAGCATCTTCAGTCTCTATATTAACTAGGGACACACATAATCATATTTATGGACGCTAGAATTTGAACTGGTGGATGGAATCGTACATCCACGACTTCATCGCACATCAATGGTGCGTCCCCAGAATCTCCTGACATGAAAGTGTGTTCCAGCTTCCCGAAGCTATCATTGCGGTGCTGAAATGTGAACTTCAAATCATGTACTCCCTCCGTCCCAAAATATAACAACTTTTAACTCTTAGGATTTGTCCTAAAATATAACTACTTCTCCATCAACATTCTCTTCCCAACCAATCACAACCTTCTATCATTCACTTTTCCCACCTACCTCCACTACTAATCCAATCACAACCCTCGAACATTCACTTCTAACTACTTTTTTAATAACCGTGTCCAACTCTAAAATTTTTTATATTCTGGATTCGGGGACGGAGGGAGTAGAAAGCAAATTAGTTTGGGCATGATAGTAGCATATCATTACACCTGAAACGAACGATTTCACTCAGAGACTCGATTAAACTAAGGATTTGGGGATGATATTGACCACCACTTTATTCACTATTTTAGTGACACCATCAGTACTAACTTCTTTGAGAAGTTCTTCAATACTGAATCAACAACAGAGTCAAAGATTTTTATTTATGTGTTCACCTAATCCTTCATAAGATAAACCAAGCATGTATACCCCTTTCCATTTTAGTTTAAGCAATGTTCAGAGACTCAGAGTTATACCAACCAGGTGTTAGCAATCAATAAGGTACTCTTGGAACAATTTGGTTGCATAATTTTCTTCTTATTCTGAAGTGATTCTGACAAACTAGATTCTCACTCTCCTAATATATGCTCCCAACTGTTTACTTTATCATGTTTCTTGCTAGCATAGAGAAGACTCCAGATGAATGATTGGATAATTCAGAACTTGCAGAAATAAAAAAAAGTAATTAGATAACTTAACAGACAAATTAGCCGAAAGTCGGATTAGGTGCCATCTATTATCTATCATCATGGGTCTCATACGATTGAATACACAAGTGGCTACATCATTGTGAGCCGAAATATCTGCACAAAATGTGACATGCAAGCTGGCTTAAATTAAATGATAATAATGTTTAGTTGCAGAGGGTGACCAGTCGCACTCCAAAAGGTACTGAAATCTCTCGTTGAAATCGAACGCTTTCGGTAGTTTAACCACTCTAATAAATAAAACATGACAATTTTTAGCTATTGTAGGTTTTCTAGAGGCAATTATTTACTTATCTAAAATAGTTAATTATGCCTCCAAGGGTGATTAATGCCACATTTAGTACGATTGGACTACATTTTGGACAACAAAAAGGCAGTAAACAACAGGTGCACTTTATTCGTTGTTTGTACTATAGGCTCAACTCAAAAATGCCATAAGCAGTTAGCACAATATTGATGGTTAACAACAAGTACACAATTTATTGTTTTAGGGATCTTGCTACCGTGTTTCACAAGCATTTGAACTGGGCATATAATTACAAATTAATCCAACCCTTTCAGCTAATCCTTGTGTTTATTATAACAAACCTTTTGCTTTGTGTAATTAATTTAACAGATTTTGGGAGTATTATTCACAAAGCAACATTGAACCCCACCCAGCCTACCACCTAACCACAACGATCCAACCATAAAAACAGCACAGAAAGTAAGCAGCAGAACAGAAAAGGTGGAACAAACAGTACAACCTTACATCAGCAAAAACAGAACTAATGCACTTTAATTAAACCCACCTAAAATTTCATAATCCACACAAATATTCAGTCACCTGGTAAAAGTATAGCATTGATAGACAGTAGGAGAAGAACGATTTTTTAAATAAAAAGCTTAAAACTATGATGCAAAAAATATACTTACATCCATTATAAAATATAAGTATTTATATGTGTTTTTTAAAAATGTACCTAGACATCCCTCCTTCCATATACAATTATAAAACCATGATTTCTATGTGTTACAAAAGCAAAACATATCTACACATCTTTTTATCATATACATTTAAAAGATCACATAGAAATGCTTATATTTTGAGACGATGATAATATTATAGGAGAGAAAGTAATTAGAAAGTGGCATGTTGTTTCAATGTCATCATCCACAGTCCCACTAGCTGAAGTGGAAGTTACCCATTGTCCACTAAACCCCACAAACCCAATCACTCACTCATCATTGGAGGCCCATAAATAAGCAAGCTACAAGCAAGCATGAGTAAAAACTGCAGCTTGCATGCCTCTCAACAAGAAAAAAAAATAAAAACACACACACAAGTGCAGCTACAGGAGATGACACTCCAAAAATTCTTTCTTTAGACAAGGAAGGAGAAGATACAAAAAATTCCATCAAAAAGCAGAATAAAAAACAAGAGGGGAGGAGGGTGCAGCTGTGCATTCTTCTCCTCTCCCTCCACTAGTCTTGTTCTTGGAGTAGGTGTCCTGGAAGCTAAAAAAGGCCCCGCCTTTTGGCTCGTTCTTGAGACCTGCTCCGAGGGAGAGAGAGAGAGAGAGAGAGAGATGGCGCGCACCGAGAAGGTTGCCGGCGATGGCTGCTCCGGTGGTGGTGGTGGTGGTGGAGAAGGTCAGGTGGAGGTGGAGGTCGGGGTGGGGATGGGGATGGACGGGAAGGGAATGATAGAGTGCCGGATATGCCAGGAGGAAGGGGATGAGGGCGCCATGGATTCCCCCTGCGCCTGCACTGGCACGCTCAAGGTGACCTCCCCCTCTCTCTCTATCTCTCTACCTCACGCTTCTTGTTTCTTCTCCTGGGTGTTCTTGAAAAACTGCGAGGACTGAGGAACACAGGTGAGTGTTTGGTGAAATCGGAGTGGAAATCCGATGTTATTTTTGGTTGTTGTTGTGTTCTTCAGAGAGATGAGCAAATGCCAAGATTTTCTTTCTATGTTCTACCCGTTTCTCATGTTGTTTCCTTTTGCAATCATGTTGCTGCAATTTCTGCTTTTTGCTCTTCTCTTTTCCCCTTTCTTTTTAGCGTTATCTGTTAGGTACATGAGCACATCTTTTTTTTTCCTTCTTTGGTTCTTGATGGAATTTGTGTGAGAGGACTCTTGCCACTGTCCGTGTTCATCGTGTGGCCAACAATTCATCTCTATTTAGGCTCTAGCTTGGAAGTTAGAGTGAACAACGAAAGTTCTATTGAGTAACTTCAAATATTCAGTTTCAGAAGAAAAAAAAAGTGACTTCAAATGACCTTTTTTCAATTCTGAAGTCAGTTGAAGAATCAACGAGTTGAATTTGTTCCGTTCCTTTGGTCTCCCTCTTGTTAATTGGCTGAAAGTCTGAAACTATCAAACGAGCGCCCTCAGGGTCGATTGGGTTCTCTAAAATATGTTTTTGGTGATGTATTGTTCACGCTGTTCTTTCGCAGAGATGAACAGTCATATGATTTTTTTCCCCTGTTGTAAATGAACAGTCCATGTTTATCCAATTATCCCTTCCTGATTCAGTCGTCAAATCAATGTTTTCTCACGCTGTTTTACACCTGCTGAGGAGAATGCTAATGGTATGTTGGTCAACTGCTGTTGGTTGGATGCAGTTCGCCCACAGGAAATGCATACAAAGATGGTGTGACAAGAAGGGGAACATCACATGTGAAATCTGCAACCAGGTGGGCGTTTGTTTTATTCTGTTACAACCTGCAAGACTATCACACAGTAATTACATTTCCATTTCAAGATGAACATGCTCCTTTTCTTTTTCATTTTTGCGTGAAATGTTCCTGAGGTGCTTGATGTAAATATATGTAGTTTGTGAATGAGCAAATACATTTTCAGGCCAAATGCATTGCAGAATGAACAATGTGGAGGAAAAAGAGAATGAATATTGTCAATGGAGCCTTCAGATTTAATTTATTTCTTTAATGCTTTACAGGTTTACTCTCCAAATTATGTCCTCCCTCCAACCAAGTGTTGTTCAGCTGAAATGGACATGGATCTTAGGTACTACTCATACGATTCTTTATGCTTTGACAAAATTGTGAAAAATCAGCTATATTATGTGGTGTTTTCTCCCAACTTTTCCATAGCAATACGGTTGTTGATTCTCCAGTTTCTGGATATCCTGTAACAATGACTCTCTGTTTATAACCAGGCAAAGCTGGGTTGGACGAATTGATCCCCATGATTCGCATTTTCTTGCCATTGCCATTGCAGAGCAGCAGCTGCTGCAAGCTGAATTTGATGATTGTGTGTCCTCAAATTCAAGTGGTGCCACATGCTGCCGAACTGTTGTTTTAATTGTACGTTTGAGAATCTTTTCTATATTAAACCGATTCTTATATTGTTATAGTGCTGGAGGGGATGTACAGTACACTAACAATGTTTTTTTTAACTTTTGAATGCAGTTGATGTTACTTTTGCTTGTGCGCCATGTAGTTGTGTTTGTGAGAGATGTTAGCATGCTGCAGGATGCAACAGTGTTGTTTAGCGTAAGTTCAACAGATCTTACTTCTCATTTATGCTTTACTTGCTCTTATGAAATGGGATGATCCACTCTCTGTTTGGGCCTTTGGGGTGTCCCAATGCTCAAAATAATTAATTGCTGAAAAAGCCATGTTCATCATTGGTTGCCAAAGGCACACCAAAAACTTGAAATGGATTTTCTCCGTTCAGAATTTAGAAATACAGAGCAAAACCCTGGTTCACATTATTTTTCAAATTTGTTCAGGAATCTCTCTCTCTCTCTCTCTCTCTCTCTCTCTCTAAACTTGAGTTAATGAAGCTCAATTTGACCTAACTGTTTTTCCAGCATTGTCTTTTTATCTCTTTGTTTGTTTTGTTCAGTCTGTTTAGGATGTGAAGAACTGAAATATGTATTTTCTTTCATCTCGCACTAAATCTTTCCTTCCTTTTCAGGCAACTCTTCAGTTCGCAGGATTCTTTCTTCCATGTTATGTTATAGCCCGTTCTTGTTATGCTTTTCAACACCGGAGGCGAAGACAGGTATACTTCCTTTCCTACCAATGCAGATACAAGCAAGCTTGTCACCTTGGCTAAGATATAGTGAGCAACTCAAATTCAGATGACAATTTTAATATATCATCATTTTGATTCTGTGCTTATATTTCTTATGAATAGTGGGGGTGAGAAGATTTCCTAGTCTGAAATTTTGTACCACATTACTTTGAATGGTATGCAACAATTTATATCTGTATAAGAAATAATCTACTTCCCCCGTTTCACAATGTAAGACTTTCTAACATTGCCCATATTCATTTAGATGTTAATGAATCTAGGCATATGTATTTGTTTAGATTCATTAACATCTATATATATGTGAAGAATGCTAGAAAGTCTTACATTGTGAAATGGAGGGAGTAGTAGACAGTGGCAAGAACAAGTGATCTAGAACAGTAACATTGTATATAATGGACAATATAGTTAAGCTGTTATATATTTCTATATATTGACATTTGGCATAATGCTGCATTTAGCTGTTTGGTTTGGTACCCATGAGAGCCAAACTTTGCCTTACCAGCAGATTTGGCTACCATTCTTCGCCTTCTATGCCAAAGCTTTCGTATGGCAGTGTTTTCCTTCGCCTATCTAGTTCACTTTTCAAGTCAAATTTGGCCACATATTGAGCAACCAGATTAGCTAGCCACCTTGACTTGGTAAAGGCCATTTGGACACTGCTAAAATCTGTAATACTGCTCAGTCTAGCCACTTGGGTTTTCTCCACAACATTGTCACTGCTATTCTCTCGAATACGCAACAGAGTTGCGTATCATTGCATATTTGCATTAATTTGAGAGAGGGTGTCCAAAACATGCCAAAACAGCAAGTACAAACAGCACACTACTGTTCTTCAGTCATCTTTCTGCTGTTTGCATGTGCACAAGTGAAATTTATTTATCCAGAATGAAAATGACTTAACTTATCAGGATGGTTTTCTCTGCAGGTTTAGGGGCCACCTGAACCTGGCTGGAAGCATTTACTCAAAACAACTCAACACCATCACAGAGAGACGAGAGGAAAAGCTTGTGAAGAAGTAACTCAAACTCCCTTTGCTTGGAGCCTCTGCGAAAGATTTGGCTTAATTTCTCCCCCAACAAGATGTAGTTGCCGATTTAGACCATGGGCCCTCGTGAAGCTCAACTGTACATAGGAGAGCGACCCACCCCCTTCGGCAAAACATTTATGTTTTCGAAATTGAATTTTAGAGAAAAGAACAAGTGGATTTAAAAAATTTCAGTGTCTTTCCAGCTGTTAATTCTTTCTGAAGAGAAGTGGTCGATATCGAAATATTGAGCATGGTAAATTGATAATGCATATGACTCCAGTCATTATTGAGGTAAAAAAAATATAGCCTCATGGAGGCATATGTAAGAATCCTGAATTACACTGATTATGTTTGGGTGACTACTGAATACCAATGCACGCCATACAACAGCCTCTCTTGTGGAAACAGTAGGTGTTCTACATATGCTATTCAGATTTCAGAATTAGGAACAGATCAGCATGGACAGCGAGTTTTTTTGCTAGCAGATAACCAAATACCATTGGGAATGCCTTCTGCATTGGCTCAGGACAGTTGCTCAGCTGTCTGACTTCACTGGCTTCACCTTCTCTTTGAGAAACTGCCGAATGTGCTCCCTCTTCCAGTTGTCGATCCTGCAAGTTCAATTGGTTTTTAGTTGAATGAATGGAAACATTGGTTCCCTTTTGACATAAACTGATCATATTCAGCAGAAAGGAAAGAAAAATCGAATTATAAGAGTGAAACCAATTAATACATCGTGTGTGTGCTGGAAGATCCAAGCCACTTTTTAGTACTGAACTAGTGCTCAATGTGCTACTGCAACCTCAACATAGCACTCCTACCAGTGCACTAGCCTGATTTATGTCCATATAACTACTTTCGGATCCCAACCAAGCAGTATGCATGCAAAATCAAAATAATAAACCGTTGCCTATTGCATCAGTAATAAAATGATAGTGCAAACTATGCAACAGTAGTGAAGAGGCCAGTCAGCCAGTAATTAATTAGGTTCAGAGAGAAATCTGCATCATCCTCTTAGATAACAAGAAATTTATTCTGACAGCTCTCCAATTTACCTTATAGTCTCCTTCTGGTCGCCTTTGTCATCAAGCATAATGAGCTTTGGTGGAGAGCCATAGACATAACGAGCTTCCACATAAGGGAAGTCGTCTTTATCCTCTTCGAGGAAGCCCACGATTTCTGGATAAAACACAAGCTTTCTCATGCACACCTCAATAATTGCACCAGAGAATGTGAGCTGCAATAGAAAACAGACAGGTATTATGTTTAAATCCAATGGAAGCAAGCTGCTATGTGGTAAGACTGAAGTTCAGCACTTCAGCTTGGAAAACTCGGCCGATAAGTTAGATGTTGGATATGCACAGTACAACATCCTTAATGAATTGTAATAACAATATCCCATGGACATAACATGCTATTTGGTACCTCTAATGTACACGTTCAATAATCCAAATACTATTCATTCAAATCAAATGTGTTGGAAATCGGAAGAAAATGGCTCCTAAACCCATAAAAGAAAAAAAAGTTATGATTGCATATTATGAGAAGCAAAATCAGTTGTCACCCTTAATTCATTGAGCTTCATAGTTCATTCTGTCATACCTTGCTGATAGAATCATCTGAATCCTCTGTACAACATTTACGGCAGTCCTCCACCAATTCTGCAACCAAACAAGCAAATGAATTAATCAGAAAAGCTGGTTGACACAACTAGTTGAATCCACATGAATTTGCTTTGCCAGTAGATGAAGACTGAATCCTAAGTCCTAACAGAGCAAGCAAATGAATGGATTTCATATCAGAGAAGCAACTAGTGTATCTGATATAAAAATATAATAAACCAAATTTCTAGTTAAGTCGAAAAATAAATCAACTTTCCGATTCAACTAGCTTCAGAATGCTACTCGACAGACTAATCGAAACAACAGAGACAAACAATAAAAAGGAAAAAAAAAAGAGAAGGGAAGTTCCATACTTGACACCACCCTACAGCTGCAGTCTGCAGACCAAAGGACAACCCTAAGATTTTCCAGTCCAATCAGGACGAGATGAGCTCTTCAATCCACAATATCCCAATAACAAAACAACACGGTTTCTTAATGACACAGCGCAGAATCTCCTTTGAGGAAGTTATCATCCAAGAAGCACAAATCGACCAATATGGTTTTGTGTTCTAAAACTTTTTCCCACTCTAATTAAGCTTCCTTTTATATTAATCAGAGAAATTCAGTGAACATTTCGATCCAGATCGCACCTAACAGATTCACAACAAACAATTCCAAGGCGTAGGAAAAGAAAAAACGCATCCGAAAGGCTCCTACGCGTTCCCGGTTCAGATCGCAAATACTAGCAGCAGCTACATGGGAGGAGGAATCCACAGGTACCCCCATACCTTGGTCCTTGACGAACTCCGCGAGGGCGTTGCAGTCGGAGCAGAGGGCGAGACCGGTGAACCCCAGCTCCTCGCACTCCCTCGCCCCGAACCGCTCCGCGCCAAGGCAGAGCACGGAGCAGCTCGTGAGCACCAGGGCGACGGCCGCCGCCACGTAAACAGATCGACCCATCCCTCCTACCTCCCTCCTCCGCCGCGCGACCAGCGTGGGGTTTCGAGCTCCCGCGAGCACAACGGCGGCGGCGGCGGCGGCGACGACGACGACGGCGACCAGCGGCGGTGACCTTCTCGGCTTCGCCCCCCGCTACCTTTCCTATTTTGCAAAAAAGCCCCTCCGCGACAGAAATATTACACTTCTTTACCAAACTGGGCCGCTTGATGGGCCTCAACTGCATAATTGGGCCGTACGAGAAATATACGCAGAGCCCTATACCGTATTTGGCGATTTTTATTTTTGTTCTTATTTTTGCCAATATGTGATGTTCATTTGCAATTTAAAATTTGCGTATGCTGATCTTCCTAGTCAGATTTTTTGCTCCTTTGGAAGCAATTTTGTCTCATATTTGGAGACATGTCATGTTACAACCCACATGAGACTCTTCTACGAACAAATTTTAAATTCCCCAAGTGAATCGTTCGAGAAAAATCTCAGAGAAAACCAGTGGCAAACAAGTCCCTGAAAAGTGAAAACTGCTGCCGAGACATGCGGATTCAGAATTCAGACCCCCCCTGAATCTGCAACTCTTCGCCGGTTTTAAGAAATCAGTAGAACATGGTCGGTGGTTTAGCATGAGTGGTCACCCACCCAGGTAGATCTGTGCATCATGTCGGCTAACAATAGATTAATAGTTAGCTTTTTCATCTGATTGTGCTCTGAATGATGAGAGGTCAGTCAAGAACAGCACAGAATGAGCTCGCAGCTTGTTTGATGTTTCCTCCCTCTCTTTTTACATTTCCTTTTTTGTTTCTGAAACCCCTTGCAAGTGAAGTCAGAATTGGCGTCTGAACTGAAATTCTGAATACCGCAAAGGACACTTTACAGAACGAGATACGATTGGGTCGTGCTGCATAATTCATGAGACTTTCTGAACTGTCATGTTGATGCTGCCGGTGATCGTGCCGTGAGGTCAAGCTGAAAACAACAGAACTTCCCTTGTGCTGAAATCACATAGAAATTGATCGGTGAAAAGTTAGTAGAAGCAAAGTCAGAGCACGCATTGGTCCCTTGAATATTACAAGACGAACTGTCCATAATTCAGAGGAAGATAAGAGCTCTGTGAGATGCTAGCTAGACTCTTGTGCCTCAACCATTTGGAAATCGGCATTGGCTGATCCAAGTTCTCGCTGTCTCAGCACAGAAACGTAGCAGATAAGAACACAACATCCATGATTCTTGCCTATCTTTCTCCTTTTCTTAGCTTCTGAAGATTGAACAGCATATGGCTGGCTGGCTGCCTGCATATGACCAGAATGCAAAAGCATCGGTGATTCTGTTCAACTCTGACTGGAAGTCCAAAACCTGTGCATTCATGCATGATCCAAACGGGATAAGTTCCTGCCGAACTCGTCCCATCTCGGCATATTTTCATACACCGGCGGCGACACAAAGAAAGCCAAGGTAGCAAGTTAATATCATCAATGATCAACTTATCCAGCTGCTTCTGAACTGTGTACGAATCGAACATTTTCTTGCTTCGACAGTTAGATATGTACGCGTGCTAATATGCTTTCCAAACTGTTGCCAGCGCCGTCCTGATCAGATAGGAATGAGATCGTATATAAACCGGGCAAGAACAGTGCAAATCTGGTCAAAGTTACATATCCCTCTTTGCCAGGGCAAGAACGAGCTGCTGCATTATTCATGTCTAAATTCTTCTTTCAGAGAACTTATTATTCAGGCAATAATAAAGGGCAAGTTGCATTTCTCTGTAGTTCAGCCTGGTCAGCATCAAGCCATCAACATGATTATATGGTCACCGAAATTAAATTGAATTACGGATTTCGTCGAGATAATAATAGTGTCAATATCAAGGACAGTTTTCTTTCTCTTTCTCTCAGAATCTCATATTTAATGCAAGGTATCCGAATCATGGCTAATAAAACCCCGTCACTCCCATTGTACTATATACCGGCATACTATCTCTCTTGATGCTCCAAAAGAAAAAAAGAGTACTTCCAAATCAAAGGACGAACAGACCAAGAACATCGCAACAAACATAGTACAAAAGAATCAAAGAAAAACATCAAATCGACCGCTGAATTCGATGTTAAAAATGGGCAACTGGCATAATAAACAACACATGGGAATATCAAAGATCATTCGTAGACAGTTCATTGGCGTCAGGATGGGCAAAAACAATGTGTACTTTTTCCGTGGGTGCGGGAGCCCGTGTGCGCGTAGCCCGACCCTGGAATCTCCGGGGGACATCTATGCCATGTGGGCCCTACGGCCAGAAAGGTCGTGGGGCCCACGGGGATTGACGCAACGAGTCCTCGGTGGCGGCTTCGCGGCCGCCTGGGTCGCTGTCGGTGGGCCTCGTGGGGGTGAATGCTGGGGCCCACTCGTCCTCGTTGTCCTGCTGTGTGGGGCCCACTCGTCGATGACACGTCGGACCCAGCTTGGTGGGCCCGTCCTAGTAGAGCTGGACGGTAGTGGTTGCCTTTTGGCTTCAAACCGAGGTTGCTACCCGCGAATCCTCAGCCGTGGATGTTGAACCGCTGGGGATTGCCATCACACGTATCACATGGTGAGTGTTGTGAATTCGTGATTGATCGTGTTTTTCATGTGGCGTAATGGCAGCTATGCCAGTATATTAGGAGCATTCCTCTCAACTTTCTTTTTCTAATGTCAATGCTATAACTTGTTTAACACATAACGAAAAAAGTTTTTCATCGATATAACTGGAAAAGGATCCATAAAGCCCTACAAACACAAGATTGCTTGTTGGCAACAACAGATAATGTAAAGAATTGGCTAACTCGGTACACATCAAAACACAGATTTGACCAACGATCAAAGTACAAATTTGACCAACGATCAAAGTACATGAAACGTATCAAAGAGTAAACCCAACGTTACAATGAACCAGGTTCATCCAAACCTTGCCTAGCAAATTGTCAACTCGTATTAAATACGATGACTTCACTTCACGATAAATATCATGGTATCATACAACCTACCGTGACATACCGGCAATAGCGTACCGACTGAATCCGTCGTTTGCCACTCCAAAAGAAGAAGGTGGCTTTAACACGATTGAACAAACAATGCAGCTAGCCACCCTCCCAACTGCTCGACTCGAAAACCAATGAATTTTTTTAAAAGATAGCTTATGTAACCAAAACATTAAGGGAAAATGATAACTTAACTCTCTAGATAAAGGAAAAATGATTTTAGATAACTTGTGTAACCTAAGCAAAATGACTTAATCTCTTATTATGTTTTTTTCCCAGAAAACATGTTATTGTGTTTTCAAAAAAATACTCCCTCCGAACAAAAATATATGGCGGCGTTTTAAACAGTGAAATTGACTTGCGCTCAACAATATTTGCTTATCGGAAACGTCAAGTAACACTGAAGAAAGAAATACTTAACAACTAAATACTTATCTGAGAGTTATAGATTACATACATGACTCATATACACAACATGGAATCTACTTCCTAACTCACCAACATAAATGGAAATTCAGGGTGCCATTCCCATGCTAGGTTTGATATGATTCCAGCAACCAAACGGGACACCGGTCAACACCAACAACACCCATAAATTCTCAAGCTCCCCTGCAAAACCCCCTTGCAAAAGCCATCCGATCTCATCTCATCTCATCTCACCCTCGCCGCGCGCCGAGGAAGACGCGCATCTCCTCTCTCCCTCTATATAAGCGCGCGCCTCGCCACCTCACCCGAAGAAATTCCCCACCATTCCATCTCTCTCTCTCTCGAATCTTGATCTCTCTCTTTCATCGCCTCTTGTGTTCGCGCGCGCGAGCAGGGTGGTTGTTGTTGGTGGGGGTGCAATGGCGGGGAGGAGCGAGCTGGTGGTGAGCTTCGGGGAGATGCTGATAGACTTCGTGCCGACGGTGGCGGGGGTGTCGCTGGCGGAGGCGCCGGCGTTCGTCAAGGCGCCAGGGGGGGCGCCGGCGAACGTGGCCATCGCGGTGGCGCGGCTCGGCGGCGGGGCCGCGTTCGTCGGCAAGCTGGGGGACGACGAGTTCGGGCGGATGCTCGCGGCCATCCTCCGCGACAACGGCGTCGACGACGGCGGGGTCGTGTTCGACGCCGGGGCGCGCACCGCGCTCGCCTTCGTCACCCTCCGCGCCGACGGGGAGCGCGAGTTCATGTTCTACCGCAACCCCAGCGCCGACATGCTCCTCACCCACGCCGAGCTCAACGTCGAGCTCATCAAGAGGGTAAGCCCCCCGCTGATCTCCTTATCCCCCCTCCGTGTTCTTCTCATCTCCGCGATCTGCGGAGGAGGCAGTTCCGTTCCACCCGATCCCGTCGCGCGCGTGTTGAACCGAACCTCTCGCCCGTTTCTTGATTCCGTTCTTTGGATCTGGACGCGTTCCCTGCTTGCATCGATGTCGTGCGCTTTAGGTTGCTCTTTGTTTGTTTATTGCGCCTAAAGGTGTCCTTTTCCTTGCGTGTAATTAGGGTGCTTTGCTGTTGAATCTTCCGTGGGAATCCAAAGATTCTTGGGCAAAAGAGGCGCATTTCGTGCTGGTTTTGGTCGGATCTTGTTGTGCGTTCTAGTTGGCTACTTGTTCTTTTCCTGGATCTGGTCATGTGCCTTCTGTGATTCATCCAAACAAGCACAATATTTGGGGAAACAAATAGGTAATCCAAAGCAGAGCCGTTGTCGAACATCTCAAACATGCACTACTTCTTGGATCCATTGGCATGAGCTATACCCCTGTAGAGATCTTTAGCCATGGCATCTATAGTGACTGCACGGGGAAGTTTGTTTCTTTGCGGTGCACAATAATTGAGCATATGCCAACTGATGTCAAGTAGTTCAGGATCCTACCATGATTGATACAACCTGTGGGAAACGTTTGCAACGTGTTGTGTGTGGCCCTGTGACTTAAGTTTGAACTACTCAACTACATATTTGTTTGTTGGATATGTGCCTGGTTGAAAAGAGATTCCATTTCTACCTCTCTATGTGGAATTAAGTAGTGGTACATAGCTACTGCATATCAAATATTGCTGGATGGTTCAATTTTTTCATGCCTTTCAGTAAATATGGTTAAATTTGTGCCTTTATGTGTAGAGTCTATTGGAAATTGTGTGCAATTCTTATGGTAAGTTACATTATATACCAGGCTGCCGTCTTCCATTATGGATCAATAAGCTTGATAGCTGAGCCCTGCCGGTCAGCACATTTGCGTGCCATGGAGATTGCGAAAGAAGCTGGTGCGCTGCTATCTTATGACCCGAATCTCAGGGAGGCATTGTGGCCCTCCCGTGAGGAGGCTCGCACCAAGATCTTGAGCATCTGGGACCAGGCAGACATTGTCAAGGTCAGCGAGGTCGAGCTTGAGTTCTTGACCGGCATTGACTCAGTAGAGGATGATGTTGTCATGAAGCTATGGCGCCCTACCATGAAGCTCCTCCTTGTGACTCTTGGAGATCAAGGATGCAAGTACTATGCCAGGGTAAGCTGTATTCGGAGTAATAAAGTTGCTAAACTGCTGATTGCTTTTTCTTTTCGTTCAAAGCAGAACCCATTGAGTTCTTGGCTTCTATAAATTTGCATTTACTGTTAAACTCGCATAGTCACCACCCAGTCCTTTTAAGGCTTATGCTTTAGTACTGACCTGAAGTTACTATGATTATAGGATTTCCGCGGAGCTGTCCCATCCTACAAAGTACAGCAAGTTGATACAACAGGTGCAGGTGATGCGTTTGTTGGTGCTCTGCTGCGAAGAATTGTCCAGGATCCATCATCGTTGCAAGTAAGTTACTGTCAAGCACTTTTGTTGGTATTGTTATGCTACAGAAATAGGTGGTTATAGTTAAACTAATTTGATGTTTGCTGACTCTGCAGGATCAGAAGAAGCTTGAGGAAGCGATTAAATTTGCCAATGCGTGCGGAGCAATCACCGCCACAAAGAAAGGGGCAATCCCATCACTGCCCACCGAAGTTGAGGTCTTGAAGTTGATGGAGAGTGCTTAGATCGATCAGTAGCATTATGGTCACTAGCTTCAGCTTCCGCAAATTGTATTGTATGCTGATCTGGATCAGGAGCAGGGGGGTACTCCAAGATGCCTGCCTTTTTGTTGCCAACTTCCCTTCCTGGCAGGATTTTTGATTTGGAACTCTAATTTGAATAAGCAGAGCCGTTCAATGTCAGTTTCTACTATATGATTAAATAATCGGTCCTTAATTGTAATGCATCATTCTTTTTTTTTTTTTAACTGAATCCTTGTTCCATGCTGTATGAACTCCTTTGAGTTCCATTTGTATATGGTGCTCTTGCCATTATAAGAGTAGTGTTTGGTCCAAAATTTTGTCAGACAAACAGAATTATAGTTACTTCTTATGTGATCATACACAGTGCTGGAAGCCTGGAAGTATTGTGATGCAGTGATGCTCCTGGTAAGAGATATTCAATGTTCACTCATAGCTATTTCAATTGTCTTGGTAGCTGAGATATGAAATTCACTGGTACCGTATATCAGATATTTCTGAAATATTGGTTCATGGGTTGTACTGGATGGCTGTCAGACTATCAGTATATGCATGTGAGGCTTCATTATTAGCTTCTATATATGATGCAAAAACTGCCCTGGTGTTTGGTGTGGTATGAGGTGGATGCAACTTCACATGTGTTCGGCTGGAAGCCTGAAGGTCTGATCTTGTTCGCTAGTGCCTTACCTTGTTGAGTTGTGGCATGGCATCAGGAATCTCATGTTGATGAGGATATAGAATGATCTGCAATTGTGTTTCATATGAATGATATTGGAAGAGATAACTTCTTTCCCATGTTTTATCTGCCGTATCATACATAACTGGCTGGGTGACCCGCGCAATTGCGTGGCTAGCACCCAAACAAAATCATATATTTTTTAGTATGATTTTACTTAAAATTTATTAAATAGCTATCTAGCTATCTCATTATCTTAAGACTTTGAAAGACCAAACTTTTTCATCCTCGTGTTGTTAATTATATAGTTTTTAAAAGTCACACCAGTTGCTCATCTCCTTCTTTATTTGCTTGCTTGATCTACCACTATTTCTATTCATTCTTCTTTTAACCTTTAAAAATTGGATTTTATAGTTTTTAGAGTTTATTGTCACGTTGGGTTTCATTTTTATAAATTCTAGATGTTTCATCAAACGTTGTCATTATACTCTTCTACGGCATATCCACTGTCGTTTCTCTTTGTTGTCATTGAGATTTTAAAAATCGAACATAATTACCGTTTAGATTCATTTTTACTTTCTAGAAGTCCCGTCAAACCATCAGCGGCTTTGCCATTGTACTCCTCTACTGGTTTTGCTAATTAGCGCGTACGCGCCATAAACTTATGTCGCGCGTATTTCTGGCCCATCTGTCTCACGCGGCCCAAACCATCGCGCTGTCGCATCATCGTTTTTTTTCGCCTAGAGAGACCACGTATCGTTTATAGGTTGTATTAGGAAACGTGATTAGCGTTATGATTAGTTTAGATTTTTTTCCTCTGTATTAGCGTTTGGTCGTTTTATTTGACTTTTCAAATTTAAGACTATATTCTAAATTTAAAACTTTCAACTCTAATTTAAAAACTTTCAACTTTTCAACTCAAATTTGAAAAACTTTTCAACCTAGATTTGAAAACATTCAACCCAGATTTGAAAATTTTCAACTCACAATTAAAACTTTCAACCCAGATTTGAAAACTTTTGTAGCGCCCGTTCCGTCGTGGCGCCTAGCGGGAAAATTATCTCCTAAAAACCCTAATTGCGAAATCTGTTTCTTTGCTTGTTGTCTAGTGTCCGTGCCATCTCAAGATCTCAATCCCCGATCTATCGTCGAGTTCAATTCCGAATCCAAATCATTCCAAATCAAATTCCTCCGCAAAAGTCCATTTTGCCTCCCCCGGGGTCGATGGGCCGATTTTCTCTCGGCCCATCTTCCCCTCTCCCCCGGCCCTTTCCTCTCTCTCCCCCGGCGCGCTCCCGCTCTCTCTCTCTCCCTCTCTCCCTCCGCTCCGCCCCGCGCCGCGCGCGCGAGCGCGCGTCGCCGCGCCGAGTGCCCCTCCCTCGCGCGCCGCGCGCAAGCGCGAGAGCCGCGCCCTGCGCCTCTCCGCTCTGCCCGCGCCGAGCCGAGTCTTCCCTCTCCGCTCCCTTGCTGCCGCTCCCCGCGCTCGTTCGCGCGCGCGCCCGCGTGGTTGCCACCCGTGTCGCGTCGCGTCTGCGCCGCCCGGTCCCGCTGCCCTGCCGCCTGCAGCCGTGCAGCCGCTTGGCCCCGCGAGCCAGCGCGCGTGCCCGAGCCGCGCCACTCCATCCGCCGCGCCTCCCGTTGCAAGCCGCGCGCGCGTGCCGTGGTGGCCGACCGCCCGGTCGCCGCCGCCGTCAGCCTCTGCACGCGCCTGTCGCCAGTGTCGCCGCTCCGCTCCAAACCGCCCCGCCGTCATCGCCGTCGTCATCGCCCGGCCCCGCCACTCCGCGCGCAAGCCGCCAAGGGACAGAGGCAGCATCCCTCCTCCCTCTGCCGCGTCGCCCCCGCTCACCTCCTCCTTTTTCCCGAATCGGCAAAGGGGCAAGCCCCCTTTCTCCCCCTCCTTTTCCCCTTTTTCCTCCTCGCCGGCGTCATCCTCCCTGTCGCCGCTTTGGCCGCGACCGCCGAGCGCCAGCTCGCGCCCTTGACCGCGCAAGTCGGTTCCCAAACCGACATTGCCGCCCATTTAAACCCCAGCCTCCCCTTCCCTTCCTCTTCCATTCGCCTCCGTGCCATTGCCGCCGCCCCCGTGCTCTGTCTCGCCTCCGCCGTCCTTCGCCGAGCGCCGGGAGAACCGGTGCGTTCGAGGACGCGGAAGGGGACTTCGGCCGCGCTCTCTTCTTCCTCTTCCCCGGCCCGAGGCCGGAGAGATTACTCCCGCGCCGTCGGCCTCTCGTCACAGCGCCCCGTCCCGCACGGTAGTGTCTCCCTCCGTTCTTCCTCCTCACTCCATCTCCCCCCCTTAGTTTTCGGTGGTTGCACGAGTAGACTCCCCGTAGCTAGCCGGCGCCGCCCCAACCGTTGCCGTCGCTCGCCGTGTGCTCGCCGCCGTCGCCGCTCGAGCTCCGTAGCACCCGCACGTCGCCAGCCTCGCTCGGCGTAGCTCCGTCCAATCCGACGCTAGCATCGAGTTCCCGAAACCGCGTAGATGCTCTCACCGCCGGGAATCGACCCCTCGTGGCCTCGTCGCCGTTTCCCTCTTCCATCCCCGCCGGTTGTCGCCGCCGCGATTCGCCGCCATCAAGCTCCCTCCGGCGAATCCGAGCCGTTGGCTCGTCTCCCCTCATCACGAACAACCGCCCGGTGTGCTCGCTTTTGCCCGTATCGCCGTGGTTCGCTCCGCCGCTCGCCGCCGCTGCCCGCCGTCCATTCGCGGCCGGGTCGTCGTCTACCTCCCGCCAGCCCACGTGACAGCCATGTAGGCGCCACGTCGGCGCCAGCTCAGCCGAGGTCGGGACGGGCCGACCCCGGTCAGTCCCTCCCCGTGCGCGCGTTCCACCGCGAGCCGTGAGGCTACGCGTGGGCCCGCCGTACCTGCGTCCACCGCGAACCGCGTGCGTGCACCACGTCCATCCTCCACCCTAGCGCCGCGCCGCGTGCTCCCTCCGCACGGTGAGCCGAGCCGCTGACAAGCGGGTCCCACCCGGGACCGCGCGTGGTAAGCCCGGTCCACCGGACTCTCTCTCCTTCCTCCGCGCGCGCGCGTCTTGGGCCGCCTTGGGCCACCTTCTTGGGCCAGCCGGCCCGTTAAGCTAGGCCGAGCCGCCCTTTCTCTCGGGCCGCGCCCTAGCCGCCCGAGGGAAGTCTATATTCCCTCCCTCTCCCTATTTCTTTTCTTTTCTTTTCCAAAAAGGATTTAATTAAATCCTTTTCCTTTAGACCAAAAATCCAATAATCTTAGAAATTCAATATCTTCCCCACCGTAAATCCGTTTGACTCCGTTCAACTTCCAAAATTCCCCAAATCTCGAGATCTATCTAATGGCACGCTTAGAGGTCATTAATAGGGCTTTATTTTTCGCCGTTTGTTGAGTTGTCCCGTTTCGCGTGTAGTTCCGGAGCCCGAAGACCCGCAGTGCGAGGATTTCGAGGATCAAGCTCCAGATCTCGAGCAAGGCAAGCCACCTTTGAACATCTTGAGCCTATATTTGAAATTTAATTATATTGCTTGCAAAATATTATGCATTGATAGGATCGCACTTAATCTGTTGTCCCGTCTGCAAGGCAGATTGGCGGACCTGCCTAATTTGTTGCATTTGATCCTTCCTTTGTTAATTGTTATACCATGTCCCCTTGTAACCACCCAGTTGCGCCTCGATATTCGTGCACTCTGTGCGAGTATCGACGGTCGCCTTCAAAACTTAAAATCTGAAAAACAACTTGGGTAAAACTTGGGTTTTACAAAAGACTTGGAAAACCCGATACCTGGGTCGGTGCTTGCGAACTAAATGAACTTCTAAAACCGCGGACCGGGGAACGTACCGGGTGTACGGTTTTCCCGCTCCCGCACTTAAGGACCGATTCCTTGGAATTTCATCCGAACATAGGACAAGTACGACCACATGGGTGGAATGGGACACCCCTGGCTGAGTAACTAGCTTATCAGGGGAGCCATGATGCCGAGAGACATGTGGATTCACCGGGGTGGTGTCGGAGAGGACCCCCCTGGGCTTCCTGGCACAGTATGGTCTGGGACCTAACCTGTTGTTGGTCTGGGACCCCTCTCGTCGGCATATGGTAAGCCTGTGTCGGCTTTGGAAATGCCTTGTCATGAAAGCTTGGAGGTCTCCCGACGTGGCTGATCCCCACGGGCTGGGTGATCCGGGTTAGTAATGTCGTGTTGGTAAAGTGTACCCCCTCTGCAAAGGTTAACAAACTGTTCGAACAGCCATGCTCACGGTCATGGGCGGATGTGAGGTGATTCCTAGCGTAGTTTTGTTTGACAACTGCTTGTGAAATTACTGTTGTGAAAAGGGGTTCGATGTTTGGAAAATCAGCAGCTGACGGGATCAGCTAGGCCCAGGTGGCCGTTTGAAAAGTTGTTGGCCCGGGTGGCCGTTTGAAAAGCTGTTGGCCGGGTGCCAACCTTGTTTTAAGATCTAAAGATTGATACATTGCACATACTCCAACCGGACGGGACGCACTGTCTCAACCGTGTCGTTTGAGAAGCACTCACCTAGATGTTTTTAGAAAAGAGTTCAAATAAAATCAATTACGAAAACAACAGCCTTTCCTTGAAGCCTGCATTAAACACTTATTTCCCCTGGCTTGCTGAGTACTCCCGTACTCACCCTTGCTCTATATAAATATCCCCCCCAGTTGCTGATGAAGATGAAGCGGATCCTGCTGATG